ACACACACACACACACACACACACACACACACACACACACACACACACACACACACACACACACACACACACACACACACACACACACACACACACACACACACACACACACACACACACACACACACACACACACACACACACACACACACACACACACACACACACACACACACACACACACACACACACACACACACACACACACACACACACACACAGCAACACATGCACGCCTGCACGTGTGCCTGTGAGCATCACAACCCGAGCTCTTCAAGGAGACCCTTAGACACCGTAGGACTGGAGAGGAACATCTCCTCGTCCTCCTCTTCGTCCCCCTCATCGGCAACCTCACTGCCAGACTCACTGGACAGTTCTGGATCCCCATCACTCATAAATGCCTCGCTGGCCTCCTCTTCGTCATCTTCCCAGTTATATTTTTATGAATGCCATTATGTATCGCTGTAGCTGTCCGTCGCCGAAGGGCCCACCGACGACCCACGGCACCCGATCGGCCGGTCCTAGCGCCCCTAACCCTGTCGGGTCCCCCGACGGGGCCCGGAGGCTCCCGATGGCCGTTTGGCATTTTCCCCCTTTTTCGTCGGGTCCGCCCGAAAGCATTTTTCAAAGCCTGTCGGGATTTTCAGCACAAGTGCCATTCCTGTCGGGACCCGATCGGACTGTCGCACCCTGCCGGGGAGGCCTCAGACACACTCAGGTCAGCTCGTCGACATAGACCACCAGGAGAACCCAACTGATGCCTCTGACGCTATGAGAAATTGGTAATGGACAAGCCTAGCTCTGACGTCATCGTACGTCCTGTCGTCGGCCCCACCCGGACAACGCGCAGATTTTCGCTGTGGACTCGGTTCCGGAGCGCCTGGCAGTTGCGGAGGAGCTGGGCGCCCGGCCGCTGCGGCTGCAGCTGCCCCAGCGCGCACAGCCATTTACAACGTCGCCGCAGCAGCCGGCGGCGCGTGAGGAACAACCGCCGCCAGCACCGGCATCCGCATCACCTCCAACTCCCCAGGAAGCAGGACCGGCAGGCGACGGCAGTTCGCAGGAGGCCCTGATAGCGGTGGTGATGGCGGCGACGGAAGGCAGGGGCGCGGATTGCGTGCTGGAGGCCGTGGGGGCTAACAGTGCGTTGCGGCTGGCGTATGAGCTGGTCCGCCCCATGGGTCAGTTGGGTAGGGTGGCATTGCCACTGGGCTGGAGCAATGTGTCCTTGTTGGCCCTGGGTGGTGTGCTCACCCAAACATAAAATGCGATGATGCGCCGAATCCTATGGTGCAGCGCCCGACCGCGTCTCCCCTCCTGTTTCTGCTGTGTCTTCCTGCTACAGGGACCATCTCTTCTGTGGGGGTCAACACCAACAGCAGCTTCCCCTTCTCGCCTGTAGATGCGTACAACAAGAACGTCACCTTTCGCTGCGGACGCTGCCCCGCTCGTGCTTACATGACCCGCCTGCTCCCGTTGCTACGGGAACCGCCGCCAGGCGGCGCCGCTGTTACTGAGACGACTATTGCCGATATGGCGCTGCCCTGGCGGCGGATTATCACGCACCGTATGCCGCTAAGCAAGGGGCCGGAGGCGTACGACATGTTTGCGAGACGAGCTGACGGCTGCATTAAGATAGTCTTAGATCCGTGGGCGTGAGGTGTGTGTGTGTGTGTGTAGCGGCGCAACGCAACGTGACAGCAGCTGCGGGAAGCCGCACTCTCGCAAGTCTCTCAGCTGTGCCCCAGCGATTGAACGGGTCCTGAGACAAGGAGTGCTCAGACCTCCACGCGCCTCACCGTACGACTGCTCATTAGTTATTCGAGGACAAACTGCGTTAAGGCCACCATAAACTCGTGCGCATAATTGTGCTCTCAATGCAGCCAGCACCAGCCGCGATGGCTCATTCATAAATAACAAACCCTGAAGTCAAATAGCTTTGGAAGTGGGTTATGCCGGGTATCTGCAGCTAGCTGCCCAAAAGACTGGAAACATTAGCCAATTCGAATGAAAGCTGGAACGTTAACCAGTTTGTGTGGGAGCCCAAAGGTACCCGCTAAATGGATAATCGGTGCTGACATTGGGGATCCATGTCATTACGGTTTACTAGATACAGCAAACTTATGCGGCCATTCCGAGCTTCCCCCTGCCACCAGCACGAAACCAATACTGCCCAGTGTTGCCTGTGACATGCCCAATCCTCGCAAGCCTAATATTATCGAAAGAACACTCTACAAGGATATGCATACATAAGCCTGCGGGATCATGCAGTAACACGAGCGGGGCGCGAAAAGCAGCGCATCCTTATTACAGCGCGACAAGATACACGAACTGTAATTCTGCAGACTTTCCATAACCTAAAACAACACTCAACAAACGCTCATAAAACTCCAAATGACGAATATTCATCTCCAAATACACTACAAGGTGTTTATTTCCGGGCCTGATTGCACCTCTTGTTTCCCCCTACGGGCAATTAAGTTTGGAGGATCTGCCCTTCCCCTCCCCACTGCGCATTAAGACCCTAACAACGCATCCCACAACCATGCGCAGGTGTCGCATATTAGGTGACGTTTGGACGAGCTCTTACAGGCAAATGGACGCCCATTAGGAACCTAACGGCTGAATTTATGCTTCACAACGAGTACTTATGCGAGGAGCACATACAGTCCAATCTGAAAACCGTCAAACCTGCGCTCCGCCTGGCATGCAAGCCCTACGGGAAGAGCGAGGTCCCAACTGAAGCTGACGCATACTCCCAGTTCCAAAAAACTAGGCGCGTTTTCTGTTCGCAACGCCCGTGCTCTCCGTCGAGATATATGCTGCCGAGCCAGCGGATAACCCTAAGCAATTTCTCCACAGCCTTCGCATGTTGTATCGTTACGCTGTGGTCTCCTGCTCTGAAGCCAAGGGGGGCAGCGGCTTGAACAAAAGGTTACCCTGGCGGAGGAAAGGCGGGGGAAGCCACAGGATTGAGCATGAAATAGAGCCATATGAGGACCGAGTTGCAGGAACACAAAAATGACCACACAACCCCCCATGCGGCCTAGCCGAGTACGACAGCTCGCGCCATACGCCGCTGCAACTGACAAGCCTTTCAAGGTAGATGCCGGCCCCGTTCCAGCTGGAGGAGCTGATCACGTGCGGTGTGTGTACAAGCCTCACCATCCCGTTCAGTGTATTCATCCTAAGATTAAAGGCCGCTCCCGCGGACCCGCAGCGGTTGCACCCAAAGTTACAGCTGAACGGGCTCAACAGGGGGTGGATACCTTGAAGCCATGCTGCTTTCCAGCCACGTCTGGTCTGCCAGAGAGCGTCTTAAAGGCGGCAGCTCCGCTGGCGGCGCGAGCACCTGTCGGCCCACTAATAGTCCGGCCCCGTGGCACACCCTGTTGCGATCCAGCAAGACGAACAAGTCCAGGTTCACAGTGATCGCTACACCAAAAAAAGAGCAGCAGACTCTTGCGCTGCTCCGCAGTCTGAAGTCAAATTAATCCTAGCAAATCTTTGAGTATGGGGATGTCGTAAATGCTAGCCCAGTGAACGTAACCGGCAAGGACTACGCGTGGGACTGCAGTGTTATGGCAGAAGCATAATAACAAAAGTGGTCCTGAGGCACTTCTCCAACACTAAGATAAGAGCATTCATCCTGCTGTCGCAGCGCAAAAAACGTGCAACTCCTAAAACGACCTCCCATATTTGGAAGGACATATGGGGGCCTGAAGATCGCTGCGACGCTGTTCACGCGGTTACGCCAGGATAAACGTGTAGCCCTCCAGCGCTTACATTTACAGGAGAAGACGACCGCGCCCGCTTGTTTGCTCCATAGTCGTATGTGGGGTTCAAGGCTGCCTGAAAGCGCTTCATAGCCAAAACAAGGTTCCCAATCAATTTGAAGGTAGGCTTCTTCTTCTCTGAAGTTAACTTCTCGGTCTCCATGGCCTCTAGACCTATGCCGGTATCCTTCAGATGGAATGTATGAGCAAAATCTGTTTAAGTAAGAAGATATGTTAGATGTTCCCAGTGTATCACACCACAGCTGCAACAAAGAGGGAATCACATTCCGTGTAAGGCATATTGAGTCGGCCGTACGACTTGTCATAATGTGTAAGGAGTTCCCAAGGCTCCTAAGGCAAATTGTACGTTATGGTTTATATAATAGTCAGCTCAACTGCTTGAGTGAGTGAAACGCTACAATACCTTGCTGTAACTGCCTCGTAACTTCTTTGACTACCTCGTCCTTTGTGGCAGACCCGGCCGTGCCCGCGCCCAAAGCCCCCTTTATCATCCTGTTACAAGAGGTGCGCATTGAATATCTTGTTTGGTGCTAGCAGTCAAGGACTGCCATGCAAAGCCGTAATATATGCCCAACCCAGAAGACCCGCGATTTGACGCAGCATTAGGGTCATAACCAACATTGCAAAGTGTGGGAAACTGGTTAGTACAAGTATCGCCGTCCCATGGACCAGTTGCCCTGCCACCTATGCTACCTGGGCCCCCTAGTGCCAAATCCAAGCGGGCTTCTGTCTCCGACTGATTGCCTTCGCCATGCCCAACACGGCCTATGTTTGGAGGCCATCTGGAAGTGCTTTTCAGTAATTAAGCGGATAACGTGCAGCTGCTTGCTTACAGATAGCCTTTCCATCCACAGTACGGAAACCATGGAATCCACACGTGACCAAGCAACACACCATGCTTTGACCGTTACAGCTGCAGAAAGTTAGTTGAGCCTACCCTTGTGCCGCAAATAAGAGCAACAATCTACAGCAAGCTAAAACCACATCCGCTCAGCAGCGGTGACCCCTGCGCATGTACACACATGCACAAGTACGCAGCCATACAGCATGTGCGCGACGAGCATGGGCTGTAAACCTTTTCCGTTCAGGGACGCGACGAAGCTCACGTGGCCCGACCCAAGCGGCGTGAATCCTCGCACGTCGCACTTGTAAAACCAGGCCTGACCGACGACTGCTATCCTAATAAACTCAGCTCCGGGGCATACTCAGCTTGTTCAGATTACATGCAAACCGCTTCGGAACTTCCTGCCGGTCTCAATTCAAAGAGCGGACGTGGATGCCATTCCTTTAACTCCTAACACGCACCAGCATGTTTTGACGGCATACTCTAGCTCTTAGATGCATGCCCGAACTCGGGACCTACCTACGGGACGAAAGGCATGCAACGGCAAGACATATATGTAGCGGGGGAGAATGCCAAGATCAGCCCATAACAGAAGAATCCCATAGAAGCGAAAGCGCAGTGCCCCTCCCTCGTGTTCTACGCATTCAAGCTGGAGGTAGCATATAAATGACAAACAAAATCTTGTCATAGAGCCCACACGTGTCCAAAACGGGCGAGGCCTGCAATAAGCTGCCTTCAAAGCAACAAAAGGTTAGACGCAAAATATCTCTGCAAAATGAAGGACATCGTTTATTAAGGTGTATGCATGGGCGAGTGAGCGCGAGAGAAAAGAGAACTAAACATGGAGACACGAGTGGGTATGAACGCTCAACACAACCATACCACGAAGCATCGGCTTGTTGTCGTAGCGCCGCCCACAGTTTGGCCTCCAGGCGTTTCGTCCCAGCGCACTCGTGCCCCACCCATCCATACCGCAACCCTGCTATATTGCTAACGAAGTAACTTTTGACTTTTAAATGTTTCCTTCGCATCCAAATCGCTGGCCTGCCCTATCTGTCTGCCTAGAACAAACAGAAGCGACGCTCGTTTCACGCTGGTCATTCCCTGACGCCAATCCTTATAAGTAAACAATTTGACATAACGGCCCTGATGGCTCCAATTATCTATCTACTCCAGACAGCCGAAACGCATGCCCTCAATACTCGGTTTGTACTCACAATAAAGCCAAGCCAAATTGCCCTCAACCCAGCAACGTTGCACACTACTAGCTATGCCCGGGACAAGGGCTTTCTCCTGACCTCCGGCGCCGCCATCCACTGCACACTCTCCTGCTATACACGGCCCTCAGCCCGTGCCGCCAGACCTGCAGCCCGCCCCTCAAGAAACCCTCCAGCGGCGAAGGTCCCTGCAGCTCGATGCAGCCAGCCGCAGCCGCAGCACCCCTTCGAGGCACGCCGGTGGACTAGAACCATCAAGTCAAAGCCGGCTTAGGGTTTCAAGGCGGTCCCCGCTTAAATCGATCGCTCATACAGCTGTTGTTTCCCTGCTGCTGCTGGCGCCTAGTGCGCCTGCTGTAGCCCCGTGGGCCCATCTGTGTGCTCGAGCTGTAGTTGGTGCTTCTGACCCACTGGCTGCTGTCCTGGCAGATTCTCATCCTGTAGTTACTCAGGTCCTGTGCTCAAGGCAGTTCCAGATGCTGGAGCCCCATGTTCACCTCTGCTTAAGACTGTTCCAAAACCTGTTGGACTTGAAGCTGCTGCTCCTCCTGTGGCATGTCACTCAGTACGTGGACCAAACTCTGCTGTTCTAATGGCTGTTGCGGCGGCGGCGGCGGGTGAAGCAGCTGGTGCGGCGACGGCAGCAGCAGCTGCTCCGCTAACTCTCGCTGCAACGCCAGTGATTTACAATCCGCCGGCACACGGCGTTCAGCCTGCAAACCCAACGACGGCATCTGGTGCTCTGACGGCGCCGCGGTGACGATGCATGCAAAGTTAGGCGGAACATCCCGAGCTTCCAAGCCTGCCTGTGGATGCAGCTCACTCGCACCAGTCCGCTGCCGCTTATTGCTTTCCAACTGCGTCTCTTCGGCCAGCGGCGGATCCTCTGTCAGTCTTACTCGATTACCTGGTTCCCCCGCATCATGAATTAGCTGCTCCTGATTCTGTGACTCCTGGTGTTGCGGCGCTACAGGCCACTGGAGTCCCGGCGGCGCATGTTGCTGTTGCTTCAGCGAAGGTGCACATTTACTCATAATATGATATCCACTTCCTGCGCCGGCGCTGTCCATCTGGCTGCCGCTGTTAGAGCCATCGTTAAAACTGCATAGACTGCTATTGCCGGTGCTGCCGGCCCCCACGCTACTGCTACCACCGTTGCCACCTGCGCTGCCTTTGCCGCCACCTACAGTGCTACTGTTGCTACCACTGTCCCCACCTGCGCTGCTGACTCCACTGGAGGATACGAGGTTGCTGCCGCTGGGGCAGTAGTCCGGCGACGTTTCATCGAGAACGTAGCCAAGCTTTCGGTAAAACGCGACGGCGGCAGTGTTCTCGCAAAACACAGTAAGCACCAGCTTGCTCATTCCTGAGCCCCACGCCTGCCGGGAGAGCACCATAGGCATAGCCGTGTAGGTACATCAGGCTCATTGTAAAGAACGCGATAGAAAGCAAGCCGTACAGTGAGCAAAACGTTCCAGAAACAAGAACAACCCGCATTGGGGGCCTATCCTTGTGGAAGCTATAACCGTACTGGAATGAGCAGCTATTCTAATATTCAGCTTGCGGGAAGCTCTACGAGGCACGGGAGAATGGAGCTCGCACTTGAACACCTGGCCAGCAAAGTCGGGCCTCAGCAGTCGGACCGCCCGCACGAATTCAAAGGCAAACTCAAAACACTCCGCCAAGTAGCACACATTCCGCTCACTAAGGCCTCCTCCCATCCTAGGCCCTCAGCGCAAGCCACATGATTGCACCTTTCACAGCCAGGCCACTGGAGCCCCAACTGATGGTGGGAACCCGCTGGCTGTGTCGAAGTTCCCCTGGACATACACACTCACGATTTGCTCCGTGAGCTCCATCAACAAGCGGCCCAAACCCCGGCTTTGCGCCGCGCGAACCACCTGCAGCTCGTAGCAGTACAGTACCGCATGGCCCTCATCCTCCTCAAACCTGCCACGGCGCAATTCGTAGGCAGCGATCAGGCATCACATCGCATGCTGCGTTCAATAGCCAAAGGCTTGCTCACTAGCCAAAGGCTTGGAAGCTGGCTAAGCGGATATCTTCTATGTGCGAATGATACAATGGATTTCTCCGTCCAAATTTAAGGCGGCCGCTGTTGCGGCGTAGACAGATGCTGGGCTTGGCAAGGCGGCTGGTTTTCTGAAACCCAGCATATGGTAATTAAACGGTGGCACTGGCCTGGGGCGAGGCTAAGCGTTTACGAAACTAAAAACAGTGTCTGACCTCGGGTAAGGCAATGACAATCCTTAAGCACACCGGAGCAGAGAAGCGCTTCGCCCCTACTACCGAGATCGGGGTAAGGAGTCCAGCGCTGCAGTGGTAGTGATGAAGAGTCACATGGAGCTGATGTCCCAAGGAGCCAAGATACAGTGGGCGGACGGCGCCGGCTGTTGAAGCGTTCTTGTCAGCTGCTCGCAACGAAGCTCTGGAAACCGCGTCAATGATCGTTTTCGCCATTTTTCTATTGAGGGCGAACTGCAGCAGGCATTCGCACCTGTAGTTGACGTAGGCCAGTGGCGTGCGTCCCGCACCCGCGTCATGCGCAATTAGGAAGCGTGACGCCGCCTAGGGAAAGCGATGGGCGACAAGAGGGGGTTTAAGGGGGCCGCGGTTGCAATCGGAGTTGGCCATGGGAAGCAAAGCATCGGCACCCCCAGCCTTACTGAGGAGAGCTGTTTGCGCTTCTTCGTGTCATTCCACGTCCAGACACGTTCGTACAGGGCGGCCATGTTCTCCCTGCAAATCAGTAGTGCATCTTGAGCATCACACGGCACAAAAGCAGAGCAGATTAGTAATCATCCAGGCGCCATTGCCATCGCTGCACCTGCAGGTCGCCAGGCACCATTCGTGCAGCTCCTTAGGCATGTCTTTCGCATGATAGGAGCGGATTTGCACTGGCTCGACATTACTGCTGCACAGTCTAAAAGCTGTGGTGAAGACCGCCAAAGGGTCCTTGACCTGGATGGGGTCACAAGGCGGCGGTTTAGATGCTGATAAGACTTCTCCAAGCTCCGCTAGACCGAATACGGCTGACCTCTTTGGCTTTCCGGATAATTGACCTTATGTTCGCCAATTTTCGAGACACCTATTTAGACAGAACAAAAATGCGTTAACTTGAAGGTTTTAATTAAGCTTCACCTTATTAATGCGCACCATCGTGGAAGGATGGCCATCGGAAGTGTCGTATTAGCGCCACAATTTGTGCAGAACGATTGCAAGTTGTATGCAGCTATCCGTTTGCCTTCACGACAGTTATGATGCCTTACCCAGCAAGTATACAAGCGAGAACCAGCCTCGTTAGACCCCTAATAAGTAATTTTGGAAGCCAACCTAAATGGCTTCCCTCCACGTCCAGGGTACGGCGGTATGCCGTACTGGCCTCGCGGTTAGTGTTGCGAAGATGGAAGGGCGCGGAAGTCATGGGAGATCCATACCGCATATTTTACAGGCTTGCATAAATATTATACCCACGCGATGTCGTTCTCGTGAGCTCACATCAGTGCAGGCGGTACAGCTTGCTATTCCGGTTGAAACATCGTTACCCAAATCGCAGAGAATGATTCAATCACTGGCTCGAGCATTTAGGGAGCAGAAGCAGTCCGTTGCGCAATCGCAACAACAAGGTGGGCGAGGGTCGAACAAAAGCCCTGGGTCAACGTTCCCACTGACTTCTACTCAAGGAGTGACCCTGTCCCATGGAAACACACTTTACAATCACAGATTCAATGTCGTCGGCTGTTGCGGGTGCAAGCACTGCCGCTCCTGTCCTCAACCCACCGGCCTTTCCAGTCGACAGCCGGCAAAATAAGATCATCGTATGCGGCATGGAGCTTGAAGGGGTCAGCATATCCGGACAGGCAAGTCCTCCTCCGACGAACTCTTTGATTAGGTATTGGGTAGCCACGGTTCCGGGGGAAATAGGAGTTTTGCGCTCCCATCCGGCAACCCACCTGTGTCCAAGTCAGGACATCCGAAGACTTCGCGCAGCTAGCTTCTGGCAAATGGGGGTCCATGCATCCACACAATCTGCATCACCCGTTGACCGCCCGCATGCCCGCGTTACAAGATTTCGACGCATATCCCCTCGGCGCTGGCGGCTTTACTCAGCACCGCCGGCTGCCTCCCTGCAGCGATGCCACTCGTCTCGGCGCGTGCGCGTCAGTGCATTTCTACCGCCGTATCTACCCTCTCTCAGCCGCCACATCTGCAGCGCTTGCTTCCCCCGGTTTGGAGTTCCCTAACGCACCCGTCCTAGCCCATCTCATTTTCTTCACCCAACGGCGCCGTGAAACATACACATCTAAAATGGTGACGCAGGAGACGAGCATAATCTTCCCAAGAGGGAAGGTGACATTTGACATCGGGCGATGCCCGCAGCGCGCGTGCTTCCAGCAGACGGTCCTGTTAAGTCACGCACATCTGGACCACGTGGGAGGTACGGCCGCTGAGATTGTGTAAACCACAGCAGTTATGGGCTTATGCTTACTGTGTCTACGGTGGTTGCCGCGCCTGCTACTCGATTTTTGTATGTGCGGCGTTCACACATCCTTCCACCCTTACCACAGGCCTGCCCTTCCACGTATGTACTCGGGAGATGCTGTCGCTGCCTGCGAGCCGTGTGGTCGTGCCCCAGGTGGGATCAGATCAGCCGGTGTGGGGATGGCCTTGGAGTGTTTGAGATTGGGTTGGTTCCTCCAATATGCGCCTGCGTCACTCCGCAGGGTTTTGCAGCTGGTGTGAGAAAGCTGGTGGACGCTGCCCGTGAGCTTCAAGGCAGCCCTCCTCTCGACTACCAGGTATTGGAGCTTCAGGTACGGGAAGGACCAATCGCAATGGCGATTTGGGATGGGTAAATGTCATGGTGATTGGGATCAAAGGACCCGTTTCAAGGATCGCAATCGGATGGAAGCACAATGTGCCGTGCATTACCTGGGTCGTATATTTTGTGCCATTTACGTGTAATGTAATGTCGCGTCGTTTAGTTCTGCAAACCTCCGCTGGCCTACTTCAGTCGGCGGCGGCCTGCAACAGGTTTTTTAACCCTTGGTTTCGCTGCCCCGATGGTGACCCGTGGGTCTTTTGTACAGCTAGGTGAAGACCACGTGTTGCCCAGCGGCTATCTCTGCCGCTGCTTCCCCACTACGCACACCATTACATCACAGGTACGGAAGGGTGCCGTGTCACGTCATGAGGCGGGGTAGAAGCGCCGCGTTGCGGCTTGCAACAGCTTTGAGCGCATCGTCTCAACATCCATGGCATGGACAGAGGCCATACGATTGAGAAGGTTCAGCCGAATGCATGCTTAAGGGTATGGGGCAGGTCCTGTTGTATGCAGAGCAAGCAGATTGGCCCTGAACTGGGCGGCTCGCATGGCATTGCCGCATTCGGGATGATGTGGCAACCAGGAAGCGGTCTCCGTGCTGCCGTTCCTGTCAGGACTGCTCTTGACCAAGTCCTAGTTGGGGACGCAAATATGCAGTGATCCAAGTAGCAGGAACACAAGTCAGCATACCATGACGCGGGCATGATTGACAGGGGCCCGCTTCAAGGCCCCAATCGCGCCCGCAGAACCTCCTCCGCCAACGAGCCGCCCAAGGTTAGTTGCGTAAACCATCTCCTGCGATTGTCCCTGTCCGGCCGTCCTGTACCACACACGCAGGGCTATGTGTTGTACAGTCAGCGACGTAAGCTCAAAGCGGAGCTACAAGGCAAGAGCCAGGAGGAGATCCGGCAGCTGAGGTTGGCGGGCCAGGATGTTACTGACACCGTGGCGGTGAGTTCAGGGAGCAGGGCAAGTGCCGAAGGGACACGTAACGGGTGGATGTCGCGGCGACGGCATGAGATAGCTAGCGACCGTTTGGACCGTTATCTTCCGCCCAGGTGTCACTATATCTCATGCGGGCTGATGTGGTTCGGGTCTTCACACCTACGCGCACCCATCGCATCATCCACGGATGTAAGGAGAGCTTTGCACCATCGACCTTTTACTTGTCACGTTTTTTTCTGGATCCTGTGTCGCGTCAATGGGCCAGGTACCGGAGATCGCGTTCACGGGGGATACTACCGCTGGATTCCTGGATGGTCCTGGGTGCGCAACGCTGGAAGATGCGCTTAAGGCCCGAGTGTTGATCATGGAGATGACGTAAGGCGGTATGGTAGAGCTTTGCAGGGAAGTAGAAAGGCGGGCTTTGATGGTTACGGCCTATAGCACTTTTGAATTGCGTGGTAGCGGAGAGCCTGGGGGGAGGAAGGGGGTTATGGTTATGCAGTCAAGTCGAAATGCGTAAGCAAGAATTCTACCTAACTAATGGAACAAGAGCCTTTAGGCAATCCCGTGGGCATTTTCATCCAACGCAGCGCGAATATCCTATTTGTCTCTTCACACTGTTTCCCGATAATGGTGTTCGGTCTGAGGACGGATTGGGGAGAACATAAGGAACAGCTGGCAGTTCTTGGATGGAGCTTTCCCTTGTTTCAGATTAGCTCAACCCACAGCGCTGAGCGTTTTTCACACCCCTTCCCTGCAGGTTCCTCTGTGACGATGTGACTGTCGACGAGGCACGTGATAAGGGACATATGCACATCGCAGACTTCGTGGCTAATGCGCACAGATTTCAGGTTGGTGCATATCTTGCGGGGAGATAGTTGTGTTGACGCTGAGGGCTTTGCGTACACTATCAATTTACAATCATGCACTCAACTTTTTTTAATCTCCATTCATTTTCGCAACGAAATCGGCAAACTCTATTATCAATAGCAACCAAGAACACTGTCAGACAACGTTCCCTACCAAATTTCCAGCCCTCCCATTGCCACCACCCTTGCAGAACGAGGCAATTGTTTTAATCCATTTCAGCCCACGCTACAAACGGACAGACATCATTACCACGCTCAATACCATGTTACCACCGTCGTTAATGGCAAAATGTGTACCGCTTCTTAACGGCATCGAATGAGGCGGACGGCTGGGGGTCACCAACGACCGCGGGGGCGAGCTGCATGTATTAGACACGTGTAAGGCAACCCACCGATACCGAGTTTCCTATACTATAATATGAAAGGCCATCGCCCAAGTCCCTCCTCACAAAACCCAATGTAAGGACCATGACGTCAGTCCAGGAGAAGCCGTCGTGTCCTCCGTTTGCCTAATCTGAAGAATGAACAGTATTGCAACCGCTTTAAACTGAAAAATGGACGATCTTGCAACCGCCAAGCGGCCCAACAAGGCTACCGAGGACGCACAGCGCTCACAAGCAATCATGTCTACTCCTGCGCTATGTACATATCCAGTGCAGCGCATGCCATGCAGACAGACGCCGACGGGACAAGCGGCGAGATCGGCAGTCCGCAGTGCGGCGGTGACTGCCTAGCAAACAATGAACCTTAGGAACCGCCCTTGCTTCCTTGGGCGAACCCTTAACCACGCTCTTGGTAACAACACTCAAAAACATATTAACTACACCTCGTCCCTCCAATCGGGTCTAGAGACATTCGTGTGCCCGCATTATGGTAAAAGTTCTTGTACACCCCAGTGATTCCTGCCGCCGCCACAGCGGTAGCATTGGTTTGAGGTTGGAACCATGCCGATGACAAAACTCGGACCTTGAAAGACCGCGCAACCTAATTCACTCCTCACGCATTCAACACTCTCTCTCACATCGCTGTCCGTCACTGCAGCGGATTTATTCGCGACTCTACTTCCGTGCATGTGCACCCCCACAGTGCGCATTGCACCTACATCACCGTTGCCCCGGCCCATGCTGCGTGGCCACCAGGGCCGTCACCTGGGTCTCCGACGCCGGTGTGCTTGCGACCTCCGTAATCTGCCTTTTAGCCGCATCATCGAGGTGGTCGAACACCATCTCCCCCACCTGCGCAATGAACAATGACGGCAACATCACACAAAGTTTAAACGAGCAACTACAGACGTTCCTGTCCCCACATTACACCCAAGGACCTTTCGCTCTTCAAGTCACAAGAGCTTCCGCGACTCAACACCATATGCCGGCACGCTGATTTCACAGCGCATGTTCCGCCTAAGGGCAGGGGACTGCAGATAACCATTCGCATGGCACCATGCACAGCCCGTAAGCCTTGAGGAATAACCCACCTCGAAATGATCAAAATGGCCCTCCTGGTGCAGCCCCTCCGCGTACTCGTACCCCAGCTGCATGATGTGCTTCACTTCCTCGTACTTCTTCAGTGACAACATGTCCATGCGCCCTGGGATATAGAAATACATAACCGGGCAATCATAACCACGCTGTTATGCAGTACACCTTGCAGTACCCGGGCTCCTCAAACCATGCCATCGTACGCAATACACTGGGACAGGAGCCCCCCTTGAGGCTTAGCCTCACGCACCACCAATCCGGAAGACAAAGCCTTAAGGAAGCCCTGTCCCGGCTGTTCATTCACTTAACAATGTGTTGCGGCATTCTCTTCAACCTGCCGTACCCTGTCCTGTTTCCGTATGGCTGGCTTACCCTTGCGAACCAGCTTGGTATCGTTGAAATAGTCAAAGATTACCGCCGAGCCCCCCGCCTTAAGCAACTCCGAGTTGTCTGCAACACACCCAGGCAAGGGGCGCGAAACAGATAACCCAACGCAATTCCTCCTCTGAACCACATCGTACTCTCATCTTGACGCGAGTGAAATTACCAACAAGAAAAGTGGGGTGTGAAGCTTAACATGTCCAATCAATCACAAAATGCATCCAAAGATCAACGAGAAGGGAAAAGAAGTTGTACAACGAAGCGCTGATGACCGTCATATCGTACCGTTATAAAAGAAGTCCGGGAATGAGCCGTCCACGCAGTACTTGCCCCGGCAGAGTCGCGCAAACTTCAGATCCAACAGCATGGGGATGTGCGCACTCGCCATGGCCGCGTTGATGAGGTCCCTCTTGTCCGTAAAATCGGTAATGCCCACCTGTGCCATGTTCGGCAACGTTGTAACGATGATGGTGGTCTTGCCCCTGCGGAAGGATTTTGAAGAGGGTCCGGTCAGCGTGGCGCAGCGGATCAATCTCCGGAGCCCGAAGGCATAGCAGGAAAACTTGGCCGAGTGTGCATTCGGCGTATCTAACGTGCAAGTCGGTACGCAAGTTCACCTAAAGCCCGATGTACTACATATCCATCGTTGGCCCACGTTCAACGACCCGACCTACATCACGCCCCAGATCACGCTTGTCAGCCAACATACCCAAGACCTAACCCAAATCACAGCGTAGTATTTCAATGGACCTCGATAGCTGCTCTGCTTCACCGGAGCTCCCTGCCAAACCATCCAAGACGAACGCAGCTGCAACAAACTTCACGACCTCCAAAAGCACTCGTGCAGCATTCACACCGAGAGGGTTACACAATGCACACGCCTTACCTGCATCGCTCGGCGGCATCTGCGGGCAGCAAATCATCTAGCCATTGCTCAATGAGGCTCCCCCATACACCAACCAAGCCAAGCGGCCTCTCCCAGATTCCATGTTTAACGCTTAGGTCATATGCCCGCTGGAGGACCGTGTCGGCAGGTATGCCACATGCCGCGAGCACAGCCGCTAGAGCTCCACCACTAGCTCCGGCCATTGGTACACGTGTGAGATCGTAGCGCTCGGCAAGATACTTCATAGCACCCAGCTGCCAAAAGAAATAGATGCCAGCACCTGCCCAACTTAGGGTTTTCGCCTTTGGTTTAGACACTACAGGTAGGAGGACAAGCGAGGGAAGGCGGCAACAGAAAGGCGCTGCACGGGGTTGGTGTGTGGGCGAACGGCTACAAAGGCGACAAACCGCAACGGAAATGGCATAGCGATGGCTTTAAAGCAAGGGTGGTTTGTGAACCCAGTGTGATAAGTGCGTACTTTTCAACAATGGTAATCGCGAATTGAGCCTTAAGCTCCCGCTAGCAATCACGGCACTTCGGGGAGCTTACCTTCGGTCTCCATAAGTTGTAGCTCGGTAGGCGCCTGCATCGCAACATCTGCATTCTGGAAATAAACCAATGTTTTGGAGCGCCGGTTTGCGGACGCCTGAGAGCGGGTCAGCGAGTACTGATTGCTCGTTCGCGATGCAGACTTGAAAATGCAACGGCTTGCGCTCGTCGATGCATGAACACTGCTCTGTAGACGCTGCTGCATATGTGCTGAGTGCTGCATTTTGCAGACGCTCCTTTGAGGAGGTGACGCAAGCCCTCGTTCAAGCTCCTTTAGCAGGTCAGGCACTGTAGCCACGCTACACAATAAGGTTTGAATGAACAGATAAGAGCCTAGCGTGTGTTGGTAAGTAATTGGGCCTAAGCACAACAGTGGCAAATGTCCCTGGATCAGCAAAAAAATGTTTGTCTTCCGCCTTTTGCGCCTTAGATGCGAAATGCAGGAAACGCGCTACACATGACTATTCCCATGTGGAGCAACAGTCCCTTGTATGTGGGGCGAGCATCTCAATTTGCAAATCCAGTACGGTAGTACTGCAGTGACAGCCAAAAAAATATACAAAAGCTTGGCGAGTAGAGTTCATGTAAACACATCCACGTTCGTTCCTGCAAATATCACCCACTTAGCATTTACTTAAATAGACCCTACTAGGCTTAGCCAGGTTGTTCGCCTGCTCAAATTCCAGTTTTCGTAGCTGAGTAGGGCATCTGCCTGCAGCCTCTGCTTCCACCAGCCAAGGTAGGGACCCAGGTATTTTGGTGCAATCGCAAATGGAATGCCGATATTGACAGGCATTGACAAGTTGCGCGTTTATGCCTTCATCAGGCCGTGCCAGGCCAACCCCTAATCTGCCAGATTCACCGTGGGTCTTTGATTTATATTTACTTTAAAGGAGGCTAGAATGGGCATTTGTCAGCCAAGACAGCATCTTTGAAGCTTGTGCCAAGCCTGACGAGCGTGTTATGCTTCTATTGCACTTGGTGCGCTAACTGTGGTAAGCAGGTATTCCTTGTGGCATGTATCAAAAACGCTAGGCTTGAGACCCCGCTTACCCTCCGTCAGTAGGATGCAAGATAATGCCAGAGCGGATGTGCGCTTTGCTTAATTGCAAGTCGTGATGGGCGTCGGATCCCATGCAACGCACAAATTACCTGCTTACAAATTATGTATACTTAGACGGCTTGTGCAGCTATCGCAGAAACTGCAGCTTCAGAGCTGCGAATTTTCTTGGATTTACGTTTGTTGGCAGCGTGCGACATGCTTCGCATTGTTTCAGCATCATGCTTGTGCGTCATGCACCTCTCCATGCAGGTATTTATTGTGGTATCCTTATCGTACGCCCTACTTGAGGCATTCCATTTGGAATTTGGTTTCATTGTTAGTGACAACCTTGGTACGGCCGCGCACGACGTAACTCTGCCGATGGGCTCGCTGGATCTACCTGTGGATGCAATCCCAGGAATGTCGAGGGATAAAACCGAGGGCATCGTTACAAATACTACTGTGCCGTCCGCCATCATCCTACCTTTCCCTCCACCGCTGGCGGGCCCCAGCCAAGAAGGCCCCTCAGTCACATCGAATCAACTAGTCGACGTTGGCGCTATCAGCAGCATTGAGGTCATCGAGGCTGAGACTCCTTCAGTATATCACGTGACGCCCATAACAAAAGAATCTGCTTCGCCGCTATTGTACGCGCCATTATACAACACAGCGATGTCACGAATGAAGCTTTCCAGCTCGCCCGGTCGCCCTGGCTCTGTGGCGCCGTTTGCCATGTCGATGCTGACGCCTACTGAGCCCCCCAGCCCATTTCCCGGCTTCCCATCTCTATCAAGCTTTGAAACATCTCGCACTAAAGCAGGTAAGCCTAATCTTTAGCTTAACCGGCGAAGGGCATTCCTGTCATCTACCCGCTTTTAACTATCTGCTCTCTTTGGGCCGTGGTCGCGCCACCTGAACCACAGCTGTTGCCGTGGCGGAGTTCACTGGTGCAGAGCCAACCACTGTTGAGACCAGTAGTCCTCCGCTAGCCCAATCAAACGATACAAACTCCAGCAGCTGGGGCAGCAGTTCCTTCGGCGTGGGTAGCCAGGGCCATGTACCTGTCTTGCACCGGCCTGTTGACGCCGGACACATGGACGGCTTCTGTACGAGGTTAGCAGGCGCGACTCCGTGGCCGCCGTCGCACCCTTTGCAAACGCCTATTTCCTCATCTTATGCAAGCCGTGGTGATACAGCGATTTTTGACCTCGACCGATTTGATGATGAGGGCCAAGAGGTAATCTCGGCATCTCTGCCAGTGAAGGGTTTGCCGGCCGGCTCCACCGCAAATAAGCACGGCGACGCCACTGCTTCCCAAGGGCCGCAGCGCCAGCATGTGAAGCTCCGTTTTCCATCCCGAAAGGCTTCGGCCAGTCACAAGGATGTCCCGTGCGATCAAGATGTGCACCGCCCGGGTGTCTTCTCCAGTAGCAACAGCGCCTGGACCAAAAACATCTCAGCACCTCCGGGCGGTGATGACACCCCAGTCTGGCCACCTTTGCTTCCTGAAGGCCCTGCGCCATTCTTTTGCCAAGAAGACATTGGCGATGCGGCAATCTCCTCTGAAGCAACGAGCGTAATGAGGAGCCTCCGCAATGAAACTCCTGCTCGCGCGGCACATCCATGGTCGTCCGCCTCCGGTTAGTAGAGTGCTGGAATTTGTTGTCTGGGAGCGCGACAAGTTTCGTCTACATCCGAGGCGTGTATGCTATAAACCTCGGTTCATGCCATCGCTTGTCATCAAGTACTGTCCTGCCATTTCTGTATATAGTGTATTATCCATCGTAGCAGTTCGTGTTACCGAGCGCGTACACGTGGTTTGTGTCTTCAACAGGAGGCCGTCTATTGCCTAGCGTCGACGGGACAGGCCAGCGGCAGTTCCATCAGGAGCCCGGGCGCGAGTATGCGGCCGTTGCGGCAGCTGCTTCCATCATGCTTTCTAATTTCAAGGTGTATGCCAAGAAGGTCGTGATGGCAGCTTGCGCAGGCGATGAGACCACTTTGCGGACGGCGCAGGATGACCTGCATGCGGTTTCCATGCAACTGCTCAACTTGGAATTGGCGCCACACTCCTATACGACTTCGATCGGCGCCTGCAGGGCGCTCGCATACAGCACGCCCCTTATTGGTATGCAGCTTAACGATATGCACTCATCCGCCGATGTTCGCGCATCCGCTAGCATTGGATCAAGCGGTGGCGGGGACTGGACAAGTATGGGCAGTCGAACTGCTGTGAATCGGTCTTCAGGCTTCATCCCAGAACATTCGCCCTGCCAGTCCTGCAGTACCGAAGCCAGTGAAGCCGGTTATCCACCCTCACCACTTGCAAGCGTCCTTACGACGACGCCAGCGCTTAGAACAGGCAGCGGTGCCAGCGACGGCGCCTGGGATGATGGTCCACGGGTCTTACCGGCTGACGTCGACTCCTATCTGGCTGCCTTGAGGGGCAGAGACATTTCGTCATCGGCATGCGTGTTGGCTAACTTTCAGTCAAGCCTGTCATTCACCGGATTGCTGATCAACTCAGCCTGTCGTCAGTTGTACCTTGCTCAAGAGGAGACGGCTAAGTGGCGAACGCGGGCGAAGACTTTGCGTGTTCAGGTGGGCGCCGGACACGATCATGTTAGCGGAGGTTTGACTGTGGTAAAGAAGTGCAGTGAAGTATTGGTGTGCGTTGGGCCGGAATCTGATAACATGAAGGACAGCATTGACGGCAAGATAAGACTCGTGGATTGCGGTCTCTGCTGTGAACATTAATCGCGGTGCTGCACGTGAGAACTTTGTTGATCGTGTTGATCATAGTTTATTTTTCCAAAGCTTGACTCTCCGCTATTATCCTGGGTAACAGCGCGGCCAAAACTTGAACCCGCAGGGCTCAGCCCAGATTGTTTCCGCGGCTGAGGCGTTGCTAAACCCGGAGGATGCCGTTGCGCCCGGTGTCTCCCCGGTTTGCGACAACCCTTGCAAGGACATCACCAGCACTTCCGTCGGCACCCATGCCTCCCCTGACTGTACCGACATCAAATGTGGACTTTTGAACCACGTGCGCACTGCGTCGCCTACGTAAGTCCACGCCTGTTGCATTTTGAAACTGCCTCCCATCAAGATTGGAGCAGGTCTTTCATTGATTAACGGTGTTGAGCAAAAAGTGATGTGCAACAGATGGAGTGGCCGCATGTGATCTAGAAGAGTTTCTTTGAGTTGCCCTGTTCTATGATTCAGGAAGTCCGTGGATCACTTGGGAGTGTCCGGGCAGGATGTAGCCCCGGGGATTACACGGGCCTGGCATATTAATCACTGTTGCACGATCCATCCATTGCTACTGCAGGACACCCTTGGAGAGCTGCTGCACAGCGAGTTCGTCGGGTAGCGGCGGCGGTAGCTGCGAGGGCCCACAATCAACGAAATCAGATGGCTCCGAGGGGCCTGAGGGTAGTAGCATTGCCCCGCGGCGTCTGTGGCGGCCGCAGGAATAATTTTCGTCGAGAGCCATGAGCGCTTAGCTATCAATTCATTTCTGCGCTTTTTAGTCTGCGACTATGATAGGATCGTGAATGAGCATGAATCTTGGCGCTGCAAAGAGCCTTCCGCGTGCAGAACTTTTAGTACCGATCTTACCGCGGTGTAGCTCCGCAGGTGTTGGGATCGTGTAGGTGGCGGTCGGGAGCCAACGATTCTGCCGGGGTTTCGCGTCAGATGTGTTGGCAGCGCTGCTTTAGTAAATTACGCGGGATGTACGTAGTGGCGATGGTACTTTGCAGGCACTAAGTGTCCCCCCCCAAAGGGGAACTTTAGGGGATTAACTAAAGGGGATAAACCATTGCTTAATTTGAAACCACCGTGCAGGCTGCAGGCTTTTAGTACACGCCGGGATTACAGGATGCGCCGGGAATGCTTTACGAACCGCACCATGGGTAGGTGCAGCTCAGCAGGTACTTTGTATGCAACATTAAAATTCGCTGCCGCAGGTGTCTAGGCTGCATCTTGTGTTGGTTTATGTGTCTAAAGTGTTTGGGGGGACTAATAGGCCAGTGCATAGTGCATTCAAGGCTCTTGGGAACCGGTGTTCGTACGTGGAGTTATGAATCGCGCAAGGCCTTGAGTTCGGCCATACTTCTTTTGAGGGTTTCACGGGACTCCATAGAGTAACCGAGGATCCTGTAGGAGGGGAGGTCCTTTGCATGGCCGCTACAGTCGCTGAGAAAGCGACTTCCCCGATAGCTTGTAAAGCAGTCTGAAAGGGAGGGTCTGTATGACACAAGTCGTTCCAAGGACTTTGCACAACATTTTGTTTCTAATCTTCAACCGTCATCAAGCGCAGTGCCATAAGCGAGGTTGCGCGACCTTCGCCCAAATATGGCCCGCGGGTCATTCTCATAATCAATGTCTCACGGAAATAGCCACGCAACTACGTGCTGCCGAGGTTGTCACTAGTGCAATTACTTATCCCAGAACAACACCATTATGTAATGAAATCTCCCTGAATTGATGGTCCAAATGCCGACAAGTTCACAGCTGCGCGTCGCTTTGCAAGTTGTACAGCTTACCAAACCGTCACTTGCTGCAACCTTTTACCCAACCCTTTGGCCTTCGTTCCGCCTTCGGCGGTGTCCTAGCTTTCATGCTTATCGAGGTGGCCATACCCAGATATTAGTGTGTCGGGACCCGCTTTCCGAACCTGTCTCACTGCGGCACGTTGCAATATTTTGGCAAACTGCAAACCGCAAAAACAGTGACGGCCCGCAGGTTTTCGTCCACAACCGCCGTCTAACCAGAGCAAGTAAACCCAGATTGCCATTCCCGTAGCCTATCAGTCAACCTGAGAATTATCATTTTTTGAGCAGGTTAGAAATAAATGATTTAATTTAGTATCCCTCTCCATCACAATCTGCTTGTTCTCTTAAAAGCTGCTTTAGCTTGAACGCGCTGTTATGGGCTGATGCGCGAACCTAGCAGTGCCTTTTGCGAATAACAATGTTATGTTACCGGTTAGATCAACAAGCGGCAACGGCAGCTGGCTCTTACAATTGTGACAGCGCTTGCCCATAGATGTAAAGGAAGAGCGCCCTGGCGATGGATTCCAGCCTCTAAAGATGGAACGCCTCCGATCACGCTTCGCCAATTATTTCAGAGTGGAATCCGTGGCTCACCTAATGCAGCGCAAATGGTGCAGCGATGTCTCACATTCCTTGTTGTCGCTGATGCTGGGTCCATCGCAGATGCCATGGAGGCATAAAAACATTCAACTTATGATGGTTATTATATTCCAATTTGCTGCTTTGCACTGTGTCTCTGCGGATGCCAGCTTGTCCGGCTTTCCCGGCAGTAGCAGCGGAGAGACGGACACAGGTAGCATTCACACCAGTTTTGGGTTGGGCGCCACAACCACCTCAGTGGCGACGCCAGCTCCAGTCAGTGTTAGTGTTGCGCCACCTTTCGTCCCCACTGACGCAGCTCGGCGCTTGCACTTCATGAATACTGAAGTCGCAACGTCAGCCGTACGGCTGGTAATCGTCAATGACGTCGCCGGCCATTTTGAGGTCCTGGCGGGAATACTCGCCCGGCTGTACACTCTCATGCAGAAGCAACAGCGACAACAACTGCAGCAACAGCAGCCATCAGCTCATACGACGGATCTGTGGATCGAACCTCAGCCACGGGTGTTGTATACGGGCAACGCACGGGCACCCGTCGATAACGGTCTCAATGACTGGCTCGGGAAGGAAGTGGTGGGGGCGTTTTCCTGGCACCCGCTCACGGCCTCGACTGCCATCACGGATATAGCGCAGCCTCCGCCGCCACCTCCTGGGCCTGGGTGGCGCACACCCGCAGATGTGATCATCTGCGTGTCCGCAGAGCTGGCTCCCAAGGTGGGCCAGGAGCCGGGGAGGCACACGCGGGCGAGGGTGTGGAGCTGGGAATGGGTGCGGAGCGTACATGGGAATTTGGTCAACCAAGGGCAGGAAAGTGGCGCGAGGGAGACGGACACAATAGAGGACGAAGGCGTGCTGCAAGAACTGCATCAAAGTTGCCCGGAGGTCATTATGTCCTCAAAACAGAAGGCTGTACACCGAGTCCCAGGCCTGGTCCCCGGTCTTGGCGGTTGTGCCTCCGCCACTGGTCCACTGCCCTTTACCCATAACCATCCCACTGCCTTCCTTCCTTCGTACAGGTGTGCAGAAATGTGCTCATGGCGGTGCAGCCCCGGCTGCTGGTGGTGGTGGTGCACAGGGCGGACACGCACACACCCAACGCGCGCATCCTGTTCCTGCATCCTACCTTCGAGCTCATGGCGCTCGCACCCCACGTGGCCAATCTTAGCAGGTGTGTATACGCACCTCCATCTGCATTTGCCAGTGCGAGTGTTGCTGCGGAGTGATGCGCGGGTCTGCACGGGCACGGCACACACTCTCCCTTCCTGTCCCCCACCCCCAGCCCTCCTGTCACCCGTGCCTTCCGCCGAGTCCCCAATCGGTGTCCCGACCTCTCCCAGCAGCAGCAGCAACAGCCAGCCCTTCTTCCCCCTTCTACGTGAAGTGGACTTATCCTGCATACCGTACCCCTGCATCGCTTTCGTGTAACATCGCACTCACGCAGACCGTGCTGTTTCTCCCTTTCCATCCATTTCCCCTGGCCTAATCTCCTGCCTGGACCACTATCTGTGCAGGTGCAGCCTCCATTCTTGGTGCCGCTCATGCCTTCCTGCTTCTTTCCCACTTGCTTGCGCTTCATCTTTGTACACTTCATCTTCTCCCATCGCTGCCACGCACTTTGGCATCCTCGTTTTCCTTTCTTTTCGCTTCTCCCTCTCTTCCTTTGCCCGTTGTGCTCGGGTGATGTTCTGTTTCCTTGGTCCTTCTCTAATATCCCTTCTGGTGGCCCCCTCAGGCACATGCTTAAGCGCTCTGTAGACTGGTCCATGCCGGTGGCGGCCTTCACACCCAGGAAGCCCTGCAGGGCGAAGAAGTGCCTCAGGGGGTTCAGCATCCAGGTGCGTGTGTCCGGGCGCAGGCGACATCTGGGGGCACGTCCGCGACATCAAAGGCAAAGCCGCGGGAAGGTTGAACATTATGCCGGTTGCTAAAGAGAGGCAGCAGGACAGTCGCCAGCTGTAGGCCATGTCCCGTGCGTACTGTGTATACTGCCAAGCACTCAGCGTTCCTGCCTTTGTCGTGCTGGTCATCTGCATGGCAACGCTGCCCACCCGTCTACGCTTCGCCCAGGGCGCGCTTCGGCGCTTCAAGAGCCGCCACGGCAATGGCTTCACCCGCGACTACGTGGGGTTGTGGCAGCGGCTTATGCAATTGAGGGCCACCGGCCAGGCGGTGCCACCGGTGGTGGTGATGGGTAAGGGGCAGCGCGAGGACTTGCTGCTGCCCCCGGAGCTGGATGACCGGGTGGCCTTCTACCCCTGGCTCAAGTACCCTGTAAGTGCTGCATGTAACGACACACTGTGGGGCTGGTGCCTGGGGTTAGGGGCTGAGGAGTGGGGTGGTAGGGGTTTCGCTTCGCCGCGGCAGGGGGTGCAGGGGCTGAGGGACAGGAGCTGCACCCGACGGGGGTAGCGTCTGGGCGACACAGGCGGCGCACGGATTTGAGAGCGCTGTTGTGCGAGATGTGGATCTGGATAGGAACAGGGATGTGAACTCGGGCACTTGGCCGCTCAAGAGATTGTGTGCGCTTTGCGGCAGACCTGATGGCGGTGGGGGATCCGGTTTGTGGACCCCGATATTAACCCGTGGTGCGGACGGGGCGGTGCAGGGCGACATGCCATGCAGGGTCCTGGACAGGAGGGCCCCTGGGGTTGGGTTCAGTAGGGTGGTTCCGAGTCCGGCTGATCCGGCTGACAATCGTAATGCCGGTTGACCGCGGGATTCACGTGTGGGTTGCGACGGCGTAAGAGCTGTACTGCTCCACTCCGCTCCCCTTGCCGCTTTGCAACCTTGTCATTCATAGGCTTGAGAGCCGCAGTTCCCTGTTGGGAAGTAAGCGAACCTGTTTTTTCTCCTGCCTTGCCTTCCTGCCTTGCCTGGCTCTGACCCCGGACCTGCGCATTCGCTATTGGTCATGTCGGACTGCCCTCCCGGATTGCTTCACCTTCCCCCACATGGGCCCCGTCTTAATCCCCCACCCTTACCCTCACCTGGGCTTCAGGACTTCTGGTCGCTCATCCACCACAGCTATGCGCTGGTTCCTGCATTCGGTATGCCCGTTTACTATGAGAGCCGCATCAGCAGCACCATTCTGGCGTCCCTGCTCACTTGCGTGCCGGTCATTGCGGAGCAGCGCCTGCTGGACACGTACACCTTTCTGGAGTGAGGCGGGCAACTGGATGGGGGCTGCGCGCTGCGTGCTGGGAATTACGACAACATTTGCATTATTGGTACTAACTGGAGGGGGTCAGAGGGAGCGATTTGGGGGGGGAAGGTGTTCAGCAGGTAGTGAACGCGCAACACAGCGCCAGCGGGGTCAGAGGGTTGCATCAGGAAGGCCAGAGAGGGCGACTGGAGGCTAGTAAGGTTCTTGACTGCTCTTCAGTGCCCTCCCGTGGTCTTCTTTCTTGCGCAATCTCCCGTGAATATGCTCCTCCCGCCCTCTTGTCCCGCGCCGCATCAGAGAGCGCCACGTGTTCCTGCGGCAGCCGGGAGAGGACGAGGCGGCGGCCATGGTGCGCATCATGGGTCTACCCGAGGAGGAGGTCTTTTCGCGCCGAGACGCTCTGTGCGCCTTGCAGCAGCAAATGAACGAGCGCGCGGACGCCACGTTGACACGTTACCTGAGCCAGGCGTTGCGGGACGATGGCGGTGGTGGGGGAGGGGTTGGCGATAGTAACGGCATGTAGTGGATGACGGTGGTAGTGCTGCTCTGTAGGCGTGTAGAGGAGGGTTATGGATCCAAGCGGGGGTCAGCAAGAGGTGGGGGGATTGATCGAGATCGAAAGGGCTTGCATGGGCGGCGGAAGTAAAAGAGGCGTTGCCATAGCCTGGTTTACCGCCAGCGGGCGTCACGTGCAAGGCTTCCCCGGGGTTCGGTTGTTGTGATTGGTTGCGAGTTTAGGATTGATGGCGGCTAGTGGCCTGGCCTGGCGGTTGTATGTGTTGGCTCCGGCGGGAGGTTTTAAACGACAGTTTAAAACTTGGCATGTCCGACGGTACAGCGAGCCTGTGGACCCGGTTTGGCGTCTTGTAGAGCGCAGCGGCACGGCACCAAAAGATGTGGCCAACGCGCTCGGTGAATGGATCTTATCGTGGTATTTGCTACTGTTGCACCGCATGATTGGCGACCACTGTTTCCCACGGCTCTCTTCTTGTTCCTTTTCCTTAGCTTCATGCATGCCAGGCCTAAGTGCCCACCGCCGACTTGAGGCTGTGGCCGCTCAATCCAGCGGGAGTACACGGCAGCTGTTGCGACAGTGTGCTCTGTCAGAGAGCAGTGCGGGAGCTCCGGGCCCCCTCGCAATGCACTCTGCGCAGGGGGATTCCGACAGATGGCTAGATACCAGATAGGACAACTCAGAGAAAGCAAGGAGGTGTCACAAACAGCTGAAAGCGTCCTTGACATCCGGAGCCGTGCAGCTGCTGGCACCGCCGTGGTGATCTTTGCCCGAGCGGAACAACCGCCGCCGCCAGCATGGCGCTGTACTTCACGTCCGTATCCGCGAAGTCATCCACCCTGAACCCACCTCCAACAACTCCGCCGCCAACGACCCCCCTTGCAACCGTTATATCATGTCTAGAGTGCGGATAGGGGATGTTTACCAAACATAACCCCAGATCAACAATCCGGACGATTACCTCAGCGGATGTACGACAAACCACATGCAGTACATGTGTTGACAAATACCGTGTGCAATAATGCTTTAAATCGGAATGCAGGTTTCCATCAACCACCTGGCAGAGGGGGCACAACCTGACACAGCGCCGCAACTGTTAAAACAGTTACATACACGCACACAGGCAAGGCTGGCAGGACACGTCCGTGCGTGTCCCCGCCAGCCCATGTTAATCAGTTGTGTACGTACCGATATCGTACTATACTGCAATGTACGGCACTGATCTTGGCAGTTGCCAGACGGAGTTGGCCCCCAGCGCCCAGCAGCCGCCCCTCCCAGGTTTACCCCCCAGCGGCAAAGTAAGCTCTGTGGGCTCGCGCTCCTACACGGCTCATGACTCAGCTACAGGCCGGGCCGGGCGGAGTCAGAGCCTTAGACGCCGCCACCCGCCACCATCTGGGTCACGGCAACAAGATGCGCCGCGGGCGGAGCCAAGGGAGGGCGCAGCCACGGACGAAGTTGCCAGCGGCCCTGGGCGCAGGAAATCAAGACCCACTTGGGGGGTCCGCTGCTACCACGGCTGGAGTGTGCCGGTGTGACAGGTGCCGAGCGGCCCCCTCTGCTTAACTTACGGTACATGGGATGTGAGAGCTTGCGAGCCGGATGTCAATGTCTGGCTTACACAGCCGGAATCCCCTCGGAAATGAAGGGTGGCCCAAACTCCTTAAGCCAAGAGTGGGAAGGGAAGGTCAGCTTCTGAAACTTCTGAAACATGCGAGCTCGCCACACCTTCTCGCGTTGTCACTGTAGGCTTTCGCGGGTTCCCATACGCCTGGGCCTCATGGCCACTTGGCGGCTTGGTGGGTCGTCTGGGTGGCAAGGCTCCTCGGTGATGCGTTTGCTAGGCGTGTTGGTGACTAGGTGGGTTGACGGCCTGACTGTTAGCAGCCAGAGGGCTTAGCGGTTTGGTGGTGTGTAGATGTGTGCTGCTTCCTATTGTCTGGCCGATTGGGGAAGATTGGGTGCGAATCCCACAGAGACCGCGACAACGGCGAGTTGTGTGAGTTTGATGCATGACGATGCATACCTGTGAATCAGCCTTTGACTTGCAACTAACCCTTGCTACACGAGGCATTGGACTTCAAAATGCAAATGGGTCGGATCCACCCTAAACTGGGGTCCCCACTGGGCCACCCTGGTGGTGTGGAGCTGCTGTAAATAGCAGTCAGCATAAGGGTGTATTAAGGTGGTTCGGTGGCGGAGGTCTAGGAAGCGGGACAGCTGGTGGGTAAGAGGCCAGAAGACCAAGCGACGTACGACAAGTGCCAGATGGGGAACACTCAGAGCGGTTGAGGATTGTGTACGGAGGGGCGGACAGGGCCGCATGATGCAAGTAGTGGACGAGTCGGCGAATTGTGACAAGAGCAACCGATGCGGTTGTATCAATGGCAATCACCACCGTCCAAAGCTGAGCTTTGGTGTTGTGCTGCTTCCCTACTTTTCAGTGCGTTTGTTGGCTTCGTGTGACGTGTCATCTTAATAAAGTCCTGGCAACTCGTAAGTTTATGGGCGGCACAACGAGGTGTATAGACAGCGTTTGGATATCGAGAAGCTTTCTAATAAGCTTTAAGCTTTCCAAGTAATAACGGGTATGGAATAGTATTAAACCAACCCATGAAAGGCCAGAACTGCGCCACGCTGCTCTAGCTAAAGATGAATAATTGAACTGTGCGTGTTCGGGCCACACAACGAATTGCAGACTCTTAACTTTCTCGTAGCGCTGTTATAATGAGCTGTGTAATTGGTATCGTTTTGCTGCCAAAAGTCCCAATATAATGTTCGCCTGTACTGGACAACAACGGAAGCCTTGCAACGAGTTAGTTATCACAGTTACTCGCTCCGTCATGCGTCAACGGTCACCGGCAAATGTCACTCTGAAGTATCGGAGGACCCTTCTCCTGCATTTGCTGTCAGGGTGCTTGGCAGCATCACACGACACATTAACCGCATCGTTGTCTTCTGGCGCCCGTTGACCCGGAATTCCACAGATTGGCCGTTAGGCGTACCGGTAGGCGTAAGAGCTGTCGTGCGGCCCAGCTGTTAAGTAACCACTAACATACGCTCTTACTTGTGATCTCTGAGGTGTGAAACTGTCGTTCCTTACATGAGATTGGCTCAAATTCCGCAATGAGTGAAGCCGCCGACAAGTGAGTTCCCTGGACGACAGGAATTCTCTCAATACGCTACTCATCATTTTGTTCTTGAAAGTTGCGGGGCTGTCCGTAAGGGATGCCAAGGTGCACGTCATGCTAGCTGTCTGGGCGGCGCCGCACGAACATCCAGCGCTCCGATATGTTGCTGCGTGTCTCTTCCTCTAAATGTGACGCATAGTAATAATGCAATGTTCGCGGTACTGTAGGGAAGGTTCATCCGAGGCAGTGGCGGGCAACGATGTCGCAGCCCCAGTACCCGCAGCTGACAAGGCTCCCGCCAAGCCTGAGATCCCGGAGGGCTATAAAATTCTGAAGGAGGGCAAGGCGAGCATCCTTCAAAAAGGCAACGAGGTGTTTTACAACGAGGCACAGGTCCGTATTTTGGGCTGCACAGGGAGCTTTAACCGCCGTTAACGGTTTGCGAGAAGGCCAAGGCGAGCATGCGCGCCGTTCGCGGCAATGGACAGGAAGAAGAAAAGTCTGAGCAAGACGCAAACACCCACACCCACGTTTCGTTGCTAATACATAGCCATAAGCCCATGTCGCCGGGGAACGGCCCTGGCCCTTGTAACGTCCTGGCCCACGGCCTCGTCACACCGCTACATGGAACTCGCATCCGCCGGTAACCCAACTCCCTGTTTCTCAACCCCAACCTTGCTGTGTTCCCCAAGTTCCCCCTGTCCAGCCTGCTCTTCCTCACCCGCCGTCCCTTCGGAAGCCTTTTCCTGTCAACCCGTTCTCGTCCCCTCCCTTGACCTCCCATGCAGGTCACGAATCGCGATCTCTCCGTGGCCTGCCTGCGCCTCTTCCTGCGCCGTCGGGAGAAGGACATCGCCGCGGGGATCATGAAGAAGGGCAAGGTACGTCACAGCTGCTGCTGCTGCTAAAGCTCCTGCTACTGCTGGTGGTGGTGGTGGTGGTGGAGAAGTGGTAGGCCGGGTGCACGTGAAGTCACCCGGCGGTCTCGACCCCCGGTGGTCCTCAAAGCTGTCTGGGAGAGAGAGAGAGAGAGAGAGGGGGGGCGAGACATTGGGGGAGTGGGGATAGAGCTGCCTCATGTCGGGCGGGGCGCACCTGTGTGTGTGTGTGTGGGTGTGTCGGTGAACCTAATAAGTCTAATAAGGGGTGCATGGTGAAAGCACGGAGTCGCATCATTAAAAGAGCGTGGTCGACACCAACTTTTTGTTTCATGTTTGACTGAACGTCAACTCTCCCCCACACCCCCCTCACCCCACACCCCTCACCCCACCCTCCCTCACCTTCAGAAGGGCGGCTCCCAGGGCCCTCGAGGTCCGCGTCTGCTTGAGGGGTTGGCAGCTAGTGGGCTGAGGTCTATCCGGTATGCCCTGGAGGTACGACAGGGGTACTTTCGTGTTGACGGAATACGTACATACGTACAGGCATACGAAAAGGGCACACCACGTCCTGATTTTGCAAAAGGACATACATACATACATACATACATACATACTAGATTAGGCACTACTGGTAAGGCACGTCTATTGCCCCCGGGAGATCCCGGGATCGAGACCTGTCAGGGTCAGAAATCGTCCCGTTGATGTAAGTAAAGCGCGCCTAGTTGATGGACGGTGGTGACCTGGGATAAAGTGAACCTGCGAGCCGACCAGGAACGGAGTTGGGCCGCTGTCGACCCGGCAGATTCCGTTGGATGCTGGTGGTGGGTGCGGAACCTGAGCGTTCCACTAAGAAGTTGACTAGGGTGACTGGATGAGGGTGCCCCGAAATACCGGGGAAGGCAGGGTTTCGCAACTGACGATATACCCGGGTATATCTGCCACAGGTGAAGATATACCCCCCTGTTCCACACATCATATATACATACATACATATATACATACATACATAGGGAAAGCGCCTGTGGGCCCATAACTCCTAAGGGCTGAAGGGTGACTGGGGGATGGGGGTTACGAGGGTAGGTGGGAAGGAACCTATAGATAGAGCTGGTAGCGGGAGGTTGGGGGCGGAGAAAGGGGAGCATCGTTGGCTATAGGGGACTTGAGGGAGAGCGGGGAGAGGGGTAGAGAGGAGCAGGGAAGGGCCTTTTTCCCCTGTTGTCGAACCGAGGGGCGCGAGTGTTGGAGGACCCCGGGAAGGTGGGGACGTTCGAGGAGGGGAGGGGGAAGGCGAGAGAGCACCAGGAGGACGTAGGTTTCCGGGGATCAGGAAGTAAAGAATTGGTGGTAGCAGCGGGGCTCGGATGAGGGGGAGATGGGACCAAAGAAGGGCCGTATTACTTAGGCTCGTCTGCGCTGCAGGGTTGGGCTGTTTTGTGGAGGGACGAGGATGGGAGCTTTACCGCAGGGGGCAGGGTGAGAGGACTCCGGAGGGGCAGCCGTTCCGGTCTAGTGACGGTAACGGAGAGGAGCCGCGCGGGCTACCTCCCTCCCCCTGCGGACTTTTGGAGGACATAGAGCTGTGTGCGTCGTGGCGGGGTTTTCTCTATCGTGGTTTCGTCTGGCAACCCCTGGCTTAGCAGTGCTTTTGGTCTGGTACGCTGTTTCTTTGGCTGGTTGCATCTCCCCTGGACCAGCCCAGAGGGGGAGAGGTGGAGGAGGTCAGTAGTCTTAAGGTGGCTGCGAGACGTCTTGTGGTTTCTAGCTCTCTGCGCCTTTTCTTTTGGAGGCCATTATGTGTTTCGTGTTGCTGCGGCCCTGTTGACCTCCCCCGGCCGGGACGCCCCGCCGGCCGGTCTCCTCCCCGGGTTTTCCTTTTGAGTGGGCGGAGTGGGCGGACGTCAGAGAGCCCTAACTGCCCTAACTGAGTCTTGTGGAGGTGGCGCAATAGTCACCCACATGTGCTCAATGTATTTCCCACTTTTTTATCCAGTACGAAACTGCCCTCCCGCCCGCCCGCCGGCTACGGGCTCCCGGGGGGTCGTGGTCCCGCGGGGGCTGGTTGCAGGTTCCGGAGCTGGCTCGTATCGACGCCAACGACCTGGACAAGGACGCCGTTGCCGCCATGGGCGCCAACGTGGCCCTCAACGGGGGGGAGGCGGCCGCCAAGATCCGGGTGCTCTGCAGCGATGCCCGGTTGACCATGCTACAAAACCCCGGGGTGGGTGGTGGGGGTGGGTGGTGGGGGTGGGTGGACGAGGTTTCATGCAAGCGGGGTGGGGAGGGGGGAGGAGTGGGGGGCCACGAGGGACGGGGGGGCCCCGAGGTGGGGACCCGGGGGCCAGAGGGTTCCGCAGTGGTGGGGGAGGGCCGGGTTGGCGGGTGTTTGCAGCGGCCTTCGGTGGCCGCATAGGAGGGGAAAGGGGTTATCTGGCCGCTGATGACGGGAGTCCCTTTCAGTCGGGGGCGCACCTACCTACGTGACATGGCATTGCTGGCTCTCCTCTGACCTCTGACCTGCATGCCTATCTACCCACCTACATACCTGCATGCAACTAGCGTGCAAACGGATCATCTACCACGTGCGCGGTAGCCTCCTGGGCCCCGCTTTCCAACCGCCGTGGAAAGTAGGAAAGCGGGGGCTTAGCTATTATAAGCTACATTTGAGCGGTAGGAGGCCACAGGAGGCTACCGCGCACACGTAGCGCTACCACAGCACATCATCACCAGCTTGCCACGTGCCTTGAGAAGGAGAGCTGGTGGCCTGTCCTCCCTAGTCTGTCCTTACACGTGCGCTGCTGCTGGCTACAGGCGTACGACGTCGTGGATCTGGATCCGTACGGCACGCCCGCCCATCTGCTGGACAGCGCCATACAGGCCGTTGCTGATGGTGGCTTGCTGATGGTGACGGCCACCGACATGGCCAACCTGTGTGGAAATAACAGGTGGGCTGGGGGGGAGGGGGAGGGGTGCGGGATGTGGGGGTGGGGTGGGGGGCCGCGGGGGCCCGGGGTCTCACCCGGAGGTGAGTTTAAGTTCCGGTCAATCCCAATTGCTGAGGGGGGGAACGTGAGATGAGGTGACATGGCGGGAAGTAGTTGAGGTGGGAAGGGGCCCTCAAGGGCACCACCGGACTTAGGAGAGGGCGGGATAGACAGCTGTTCAACTAAAACGGAACACAACTAAAATAGCAAGGCACGGAGGGAGGGAGCGAGGGAGGGAGCAAGTACGGCACGGTACGGGAGGGCCAAGCGCTGCGGCCAGGGCCCGTCTGGAGGCTGCTTGGAGTTGAGGGCCTTGGGGAGTACGACACGATACGGCACCATGCCGTGAACTCCGTTGGGGCTTTGCTTGCTTGCGTAACGCACGCGCGTGTCTTTCTGTCTGTGCGTCGGCCTGTGTGTGTGTCAGCGCGTGCGGGTCCATGGTGCCGTACTTGCGGCTTGGGTTTCCACATATTGCCTTAGGAAACACGCCCCCATGGACATCCCCCACCCGTCTAGGATAGTCGGGTCGGTCGGGTCGGTCGCGTGTTTTTTTTGGGGGGTTGGGAGGAGCACTTGCATACCGACAGCTTTTCAGTACCAGCAAATCAGCTAGTTCTCCAGGCCAGCAGCAAACTTTATGCCAGCTTTACGACAGCTCTGTTTTACTACTTTTCCGCCGCCTTCACACCTACGTTTCTACACCTACTTCTTTACGGCTTGGCAATACTACTTTTTCTGCTTTTTAGTCCTGGCGGCTTAGGTAGGTAGTTTTTCCGACATCTTCTTCACTTCGTCATCCCGAGGTCGCGGTCTTCACGGACGCCTTTCGGTCAGTTATACGTTTGGTACACTCTTGCCCTGGCAGCAGCTTCACTCGTGTGTGGTTCATCTTTCCCCCCCGTCCCCCTCCCTCCCCTGCTTTCCCCACCTCCGGAACCAGGGGGGGGTCGATGACATCACACACCGCTTAGGACTCACTAGGGGCAGTTTCAGACCTCTTGAAAACCGTGGCAGGCACTTCATTTCCAAACTTCTCGCCTCCCCTCTTCCTTTTTCGCAGCACCGCTTGCTGGGCTAACTACGGCATCTATCCCGTACACCGGTCGTACTGTCACGAGATGGCGCTTCGGATCGTGCTCGCCTGCATTGAGACGCACGCAGCCAGGTGGGACACTACCTTCCACTTCCCTCAACAAACAAGAGAACAAAAACACACATCGGCACATCGGCTGTGATCTGACTTCTGAATACAACAACCCCCTGCGCGTTCCCTCTTCACCTTCCCTCCGCCCACAGCATCTTCATCCCCACAAGGACCTGCGTCTTAATCTCCCTCTCACCCCTCTCACCCAAATTTGGCCTCTTGTGTGTCGCCGCACCTCCCACTGCAGGTACAAGAGGCGCATCGTGCCGCTGCTGAGTTTGTCCGTAGACTTCTACGTGCGCGTGTTTGTCCGCGTGTACACCTCCCCCAACGACGTGAAGGACTCCCCCTCCCGTCTCGCCTACCTGTGGCAGAGCTCGGGATGCGACTCGTTCTGGCTGCAGGTGGGCTAAGGGGGCGTGCCCAAAGGGGTCGGGAGGGTCGATGTGTGAAGAGGGGAATATGCGGGGGAGGGAACATCGCCCCCCCACGCGGCTGGGATAGTGTACGGGTGTGGTGTGGTGGCTAGAGGTGTGATTGGCGATATGGGCGTACGTATGTATATGCGTACATGCTAGGAAGAGGAGGAGGAGGAACAGCCGCGAACGTCATTGTGTATTGGTGTGTTTTGTTACCGCCCAATGAAACCAACTGTGCGAGGAAATGGACGTTGAAAGGACGCCAAACCATGTTCATGACCGTCGCCACTGCCGCTGCCGCTGCTTACGCCGCCGCCACTGCTGCCGCTGCCGTCTCTCCCCCCCCCCACCCAACCCCCCAACCCCCTTGACAGCCCGTGGGTCAGAAGCGGCACAACAACGGCCAGAACAAGTACCTGCCCGGCTCCGGACCGGCAGTGGAGCCGCGCTGCCCGGACACTGGCTCCGGCTACCTGATGGGGGGTCCCATCTGGTCGGGGGCCCTGCATGATGTGGAGTTTGTAAGCGGTAAGCCTTAGGGGGTGGAGGTAGTGATTGGGGGGGAGGTTGTGATTGGGGGGGAGGTTGCGATTGGGGAGGTTGGGGAGGTACGCAAGCCGGGCAGTGGATGGAAGGGAAGGGAAGGAGGTGGGCCTTGCTGCTGTTGCAGCTTTTGTAAGGCCCTGCTGGCGACCCTGCTTAGCCTAGCTAGCTACCTAGTCACCCATATAGCTTCACAAGTCCCACCATTAATTGATTTTATTACTGCGCTGTGTTGTCATGACGCTCTTGTGTTGTATTGCGATGTGTTGACATTGTGTCCTTGTGTCATGTGTCCTTGTGTTGTGTTATTGTCGCTCCTCGTCAGATCTCCTGCGGGAGGTCGAGGAGGGGGGCACCCAGCGCTACGCGCAGGTGAGAGGAAGTGCTTTCGAGTAGAGGGTTTTATTGAAAAGGGGGAGGAGAATGGTTGGATGAGTGAATAGATGGTCGTGGCAACAAGGGGCGAGAGCTGACGACCACTAGACGACAGGAGTCCGACGAACCGCAGGCCCCCGGGGCAGATCTGGCACTGGGGATTTTAAAGTCGACGTGTGGGGCTGGCGAGGCTTCATTATGATGATGGCGCACGGCAGTCCGGGGCGGCAATAGGGATCGATTACAAGCGGAATGCGGCATGTTGCATGTGCTATATAAGGATCGGGGGCCGGAGGGGGAGGGGAAGGAAAACGCCCGGAGTGCGGCCATTCTCTGCACCTTTATGGTGTCAGCGTATCCGTCGGATCTTAGCTATCCACTGTTGCCGCGCACGTTTTCACGACGTTCCCGTACATGCTCGCACGTTACTCCGCGGTCCACCAGGCGGTCAAGATCCGGGGCTACTTGCTGACCGCCTCCCAGGAGCTGCCCGACGCGCCGCTGTACTACAATCTTCACGACATTTGCAAAATGGTACGGCACCATAGGGTTCACGACATGGATCGCAGCCTCGGCCTTAAAAGATCTCCGAGGGCTCGAATGACCGAACTCGGCGCGTTACGGCACGGTGACATGTTTATATACCTCCCCGCACACTCTTTCCACCGCCACGGCAGCCTGGAACACGTAACAGCGCCCGTGCGGCTGCCCGCCCACTGGTGCGACCCCGGTGCCCCCGGTCGTCTGGACCTGTACTTATGCCTCCCTTGCGCGCGCCTTCCTGCTCTTCTAACTGAGGCCAATGCTGTGTGTGTGGCCATCACCATCGCCATCTCCTGCACCGCCCCTGCAAACCCTGGCCGATTCAGAGGATGTCAATGCCGTGCCCACCCCGGCCCTGTACACATCCGTGGTGGCCCCGGTGGCAGGTGCGGATCACGCCGCCCAAGTCAGACCAGTTCCGCTCGGCGCTCGTTCACGCGGGATACAGGTACGACCTCCCTGATAGGAGGGGAGGGACCTGCGAGGAGGGGTGTTGGGTGGGGGAGACTTTCGGTGTGTGTGTGTGTGTGTGTATCCGGCACGGCGTGCCCGAGGTGGACAGTGAGAGTATCCCGACTGGATTGGAGTTACATTGGGGATACAGAAGAGCCTGGGAAGGGCGGAGGGGGCATTGGGGAAGAGGAAAGTGCCGAATGCCGAAGGGCCCAAAGAAGCCCAAGGTCACCGTGTGGCGGGTCGGGTGTGTGGCGAAGGCGGTGGTTGCTTGCAGAGGAGGAGGGGAGGCGGCCGCTCTCTTTCTCTTTTCTCTTTCTCGCTCTCTCTTCCCTTCTCCCGTTCTCTCTCTCTCTCTCTCTCTCTCTCTCTTCTCTTGTGTCTTTTGCTGTCTTCCTCATCATTCTCTTGCTGCTGCTGCTGGTGGGTTACGCTGGCCTCCGACTCTCCCCCGCTGCTTTCCTCGCGGTCAGGGTGTCCGGCAGTCACGCCTGCCCCCTGGCCATCAAGACCGACGCGCCGCCCTCCGTCGTGTGGGACATCGTGCGGTGCTGGGTGAAGCGCAACGGGGTGTCGGCTGCGGCGGTCAAGGACCCGGAGTCCTACTCAGCCAAGCTGCTGGCCAAGGAGGTCCGTGCGAGGGGGGGGAAGGAAGAGGGTTCCTAACGGGGCAATAGGGTGGCTTCGGGGCCAGAAAAGGTCCCCAAGGCGCTGCAAATGCTGCGGCCGCTGCATCACACATCCTTTCCTGAGCCATTTCCCCCTCCCGCAGGGCCCTCTTCGCCTCTCTCCGGGGGCAAAGCAACTGTTTTGACTCCCCCGGCCGTCGCCCGATCGCGGAGTTGTTGCGAAAACGCAGCGAGGGGCCTTGCCTCGCGTGACGTCCTGGCCCATCGACCCTAAAAGGTCGTTCCGTGCCGGTCTTGTCCACCTTCCTGTCCCTGCGTCCTGCGTCGTGTTCCAACACGCGCCACACTACCTTGTCTAGGTCTAGTCTGACCTGCTCTGTCCTGTGTCCTGGCCGCAGCCCACTTTCGAGGCCAACTTCTCCATCGTGGCCTCCGCCATGGCGCGGAACAAGGACGACAAGATGCCGCGTTTCGTGCACAACCCAGCGTACTGGGGCCCGAAGACGCGGCACGGCAGGTGGGGCAGCGTATCCATACCCACACGTGGGCCTTGCACGCATACACACGTGTGGGACTTACATGCGCACACAGTGCACACCAGGAATCGAACCTGAACTCCCTCGGGGGAAATCCTGGGATTGTAAAGCAGATTTCGCGGGGGTGGTTTTTCTCATTAAGCATAGGCCCGGTGGGCTAAAGGTTTGGTTCTTGATTTGTCTGTGGCCCTGCCTTCCGCCTTTACGGTGGTCGCTCGCAGACCGGACAAGACACGGCCGCAGGAGCAGCAACAGCAGCAGCAAGATGGTGCCGGGAGCCGTGTGGGCGGCAATGGGTCCGGAAGACGTGGAGGGGGTGGCGGTGGACGCCACAAGGGCCGCGGGAGAGGCGGGCAGCACGGCGGCGGCGGCGGCGGTGGCGAGCTCCCTCAGGCAGAGGAAGCAGCCGACGCAACGGCGGCGGTTACGACGGCAGATGCGGGGAATGCGCCGGCGGAGGTGGAGATGGGGGCCGCGCAGCCCGCGCTGAATGAAGGTGAAGGCGACGTGCTGCAGGGGACGGCGGGGAGTGGCGGTCAGAAACGACCAGCGGAGGCTCAGGGTGATGAGGCAGTGTGCGCTGGCGGCGAGAACGGCAGCGAGGAGGAGCGGGAAGCCAAGCGGCAAAAGGCCGAGTGAGGTCACATGATTTTGCGCTAGTAGCTAATGCTGCTAATGCAGGGTAGCCTTACTTTGTGCAGCGAGCGTGGGGTTGGGGTAGCCATGAAAGATGGCTGAGTTGGCGGCAGGAATGCGGCGTTTGTTTCGGGTTTCAGCCGCGTGCCGAAATGTTGTTGGGGAAGTGTTGTTCAGGCCACGTACCTGGGGGCGCGGCGCCATGCAGAGCCATTGATCACGACATGCTAGGACGGGGGGCAAGCAGGCAGGCAAGGTCGTCCATGGCTGCAAGGCCATGAAGGGAGACACCCTGGTTGCGTAGTGAACTGGGGCTTCTGCTCTGCTCTTGCGCTATAAGCGCGCGCGACATGGGTGACACGATGGATCTTGGTGGTCTGTACATCTGAACTGAGGAGTTTAACCTGGACTTCGTAGATCAGGAATATGTGCACGTACGTAGTTCCATCGGGGAGTCCTGGCACCCCGTCCTACTCGCCTACCGACCTGGCTCAACGCATAGCCTTTTACCGGAGCCGATTACCCGATACCGAGCCCTACGCCCCTTAAGCCTGGTTAAGCACTCGTTCCAAGATTTCTACGTCGTCATTCAGTTTTCGTCACGCCAAGGCGCTTCATCCACGCCACAAGCCCAAGCGCACCGAAATCCTGACATGACATTGTCCTCCTACGCCCTCCAACGACGCCTCCACGTCAGCATGTGATCCACACTTGCATGAAGCAGGTGACCGCGCGTGTCTCTCCCAGGTTTGTTGGATAGTGGTCAACACTTCAGGAGGGCCCTATTGAGATCTTGCCTGGGCGGGCATTCCACGTGCATTTCAATTCGTTGTCCGGGTCTCCTGAAGGCCGTTCCCGAACATCTTCATCGCTCGTCGCAAAAGCGTAACAGAGTGCCAAGGACTGCTGTAAGGACAACGTCAAAAAACACAACTGACAAATATGTGTGTGGTTAAGGGAGAAGGCCTCACAGAATTCCCCGCTCCACAATCATCAGGATAGCCCACGTAGAGGAGTACCCTCTTCACAGCTACCTGCCAACGCTCACTCCACCTGAAGAGCGCAAATGGGGAATCCGGTCATGGGGGATCCGGGCGCCTATCAGTCCAGCGTCGCGCGTCCAGCGTCTAAACGGATGTAACTGCTCAATGGTCGCTCCATCATCGCTAGCTAGCTGCCCAGCTAGGGCAGCATCACAACCCAAACAGCAGCCCCAGCAGGCCCCGTACGAACTGCACGTACTCCCCCATGCCCAGTTTGGATTCGCCGTACAGCCGGTCCACAAACACGATTGGCATCTCCGTGATGCGCAGCCGGCTGTATTGCGCCCGTACAATGACCTCCATTTGGAACGCGTAGCCGCGCGACGTGGTGGCGTGTAGCAGCTCACACAGAGCGCCACGACGATACAGCCGGTAGGCACCGGTTAAATCAGATGTGCGAGCTCCCAGGAGGAAGGACGCAAGGAGGTTGGCGCCGCGGCTCGTGAGCTTGCGGGTCAGGTTCCAGCCTGCCACGCCGCCGCCGAGGCGGTAGCGTGTGCCGGCGACGACGTCGGCGTCGGTTGCCCGTTGCGCTGCGATGAAATCGGGCAGGTGCTTTGGGTGATGAGATAGGTCCGCGTCCATGAGGATGATGAAGCGACCGGAAGAGGCGGCAAGGCCGGCAGCGTAGGCAGTGCCGAGTCCGAGCTTGCCAGGCCTGCAAACAAGCCGTATGCGCGACGTGCCGTACACGGCTTGCAGCTGCTTGATGGCGTTAGCGGTGCCGTCAGGACTATTGTCGTCAACAAACACGACTTCGAAGGAGACAAGCTCATCGAGGTATTTATGGAGTAGCCAGGCTAGCACAGCGACGTTCGGGCGCTCATTGTAGGTGGGAACGATGACCGAGTACTCAGGATCAACCGTCAAAGCTTTGGCTCCCATCGAAGTTGCAGGCTGGTCCATAGACCCCATACAGTCGTTCAAGGATGTAAGGACACATCTGTGCGTTTCGCTTGTTTGGACCGACTAGATTGCGCAATCCTGCACAAGCTTGCATGCAGCCAAAGAAGCCTCTTAATCGACATGGGATAAGCTCGTAAAGCAATCAGATGAATTTTGTCTTATAAAATGTCATTGTCTCTGTCATTTGGGCACTGGGCGGTTAAGACGTTGACGGTTGCACCAAGCAAGCTTGAGACCTGGAACATGCAGCTCCAGCTGCCCATTAATGTCATGCAAGGGCTGAAAAGTTTTCATCCGTAGGTGACAATCACTGAAGGAAACAATTGACAGGTCTCGGAGCGCTGTCCCGTACTGCATGAATAATACCATCGGCAAGGAACTCTACCCACGCGGAAGGTGCCCTCTGTTTTAAGTTTTTAAATCTGTGCTGGCTGGTTACCATAGAATTACTTTATAATGGCGCTTTCAAGCCCCCTACTCGCTTCGCGTGCACCGTGTATCAGGTAGGCAGGGCAAGGGCTTTACTTACTATTGCAATTATATCTCCATGCGCAGTTATGACAAGCCTTTAAACGTGGTTGCTGCGGCCGCAGACGGCTTGGGCTTCGTCGCCTGTCCTGCACTCCCCCACAGGGTTCTCTTTGCCATTTTAGGATTCAAACCTCTTTTGTTTGTGCGGGTAAGTTTCCGGCTCGGGCATCGTGCCTAGGAGGGCCAAGAGTTCTTGGCAATATTGACGTTGGAACCGGGGGCTTTTCCATCGTATTGCCGCTTTTTATATAAACGACAACAATGAAGGAGCAAAACTGCATATAAAAGAGCTAATCCTTTGCTACGGTCGCGATGGCACTGGGGCAGCTTAAACCAGCTCGCTGAGCAATAAACGCCAAAAGCCGTTCTACCAATGGTCCACCAAACGTCTCTCTTGTCCCCATAACGTGACCACGCATCTGTCGATGTGAAGGCGTACAGCTGCTAGGCAAACTAACCGAGAATTCGTGGTGCCGACTGTATGCCTCGTGCGAGCTGCCCAGTTGGGCCAGACACCTAGCTGAGCCATAGGACTGCCCGCTGCTTTCCTGTCCCTGGTCCGAATAATAGCAACCCATGCAGGAATCACAGATTGCGAGGAGGCAAGGGGGAGGGGAGAAATTGAGTCAGCACCTTCTACGAAACGACAGCCCCGTCAGCACAAAACCAAGTGTGCTGACCAAGTATCAACAGGATCCATGAAACATAACGGACATGGGCTTTCCATCGCTTCATTTAATGCATTTATGGATTTAATGCGGATTGCTCGTATCTTGATACATCTGTACGGCATCGGAGGGCTCGTTAGGGCAAGACACGCAAGTGCAAGCCGGCGTGTGCTTGCGTCATACAGCCGTACGGCATGACATGCAAGGTATCAGCACGTATGTGGCCACACAACATGCATTCCTCTCCATGCGACAGCCGCGCGCAGAGCCGCAGAGGCGCAGGGCACTCACCCGACTTATGCTGTTGTGTCCAAAACCGCTTCCTCCGGCCGGATTCCTCTTGCCCCTCTGGCTTGTGCCCCGCCCTGCTCGCCCTTCTGACTCGCTTTCCTGCACTTCCGCCCTGCCTGCCTGCCTCCCTGCTTGCAGGTGCCTTCCATGCGCCAACCCGTTCATCCTCTCCAATTGCGCCAACCCGTTTTCATCTTCCCACCCACCCGTCCCGTCTATCAGCTCCAATCGCACGTAACAGCCGCCGAACCAGCAGCACCAGAATTATCAGCAGCACCAGCACGGCTGTCGCTGCGGTGTCGTCAGGTGCAGCGGACGCGGCCACCGCCTCCGGTGCCTCTGACTCGGCAGCCTTGGCCGCACCTACGGAGATCAAGAGCGAGGAGTACAGTGAAGACATGCAGAAGAAGATGGGCACCACCCTCAGCTACCGCCACGAGCTGGGGATAAACTACAACCGCATCTTGCCCGACCTGATCGTGGGCAGCTGCCTGCAGGTACCACGTGCAGCAGCGGGATCCCGTCCGGGGCGGTGTGTGTGGAATATACGTGGCTGTGGGACTGGGCGGGATGAGGGCTCTCGCCTGATGGGCCCCCAAGGAGGCGTGTGGGGAGCGGTGTCTGCGATGTGGGTCAAGTACCTCGCCATGGGGGCTTAGTAGCGTAACTTAATGGTGAAGGAGTATTTGGTTGATGTGGGTCGCGTGGCCAGGTGCCCCACGTACCCACGTACCGTACATGCACCGTCTGCCCTTCCCAGGGGGAATTCGGTGAGGTGTGCTCCGCCTTCATCCGCGTCCCCCCTTCCTGATTCCGTGCCTCTCACCAGCTGCCGCCTCACCATTCCGCCTCGGCCGCCGCGGTGCAACTACTCCACCCGCTGCCCTGCGACTGCCGTCAATTTCCATCCTGATGTCCGCCTCCCGCAGACGGTCGAGGATGTGGACCTGCTGGCGGAGAAGGAGGGCGTGCGGACCGTCTTTTGTCTGCAGGAAGATTCGGATATGGCCTATTTCAACTTGGACGTCAAACCCATTCAGGCGAGCCCCCTCGTGCGCCCCGGTGTGTGCTCATGTGCTGCTGTGCTCCTCAACCTAGCCATGAAGGACAGGGGCTCCTATGTGCGCGGTTATACATAGCGTTATACGACATGAGCGTTATACGACATACACTGCATGACTTGGGTCCCGTCCGATGTCTGGCGCAAGAGATGCAGGGAAGTGTGCGGAAGGGACGTGTGCAAGTTGCTGCGGCTGACAGCGGAGCCACTCTTCACGCGGGGATTTTCGCCGCGGGTGCCCCTCGGTGCATTTGTTGGTTGTGGGTTGATACTTGCACCAACCCCTTGCAACCCAAATCGTAGTCACCACCACTGGATTACATGTCGAGCTGCTGATCACTGACCACATACACACGTGCTCCACACGCGTACGGTATAGCTACCATCCTGAACCAAAACTTTTACCTACCCAAGCTTGGGCGATCGTCCCTCAATCGTTGTTGTCGCCAACACCCCTGGCGGTGCATTCAGGCTCGATGTGAGGAGCGCGGTGACATTAAGCATGTCCGCTTTCCCATCCGCGACTTCGACCCTTTTGACCTTCGAAGAAAGCTGCCAAAGGTAGGTGTGGATCAGGAAAACGCCATCGCGGCGTCTTAGCGGTGTGGCGGTGGTGTTATGCTGGCCGACTGGCTGATGGTGTGGTGGTATGGTGGAGGCATCGTGATGTGTGCTTTCTCCCTATCTGGTCCATCATTACTTCCCCTCCCGCCGGTGATCATTTCCGACCTCCCTGCGGCGCTCCCCATGATGCAACATCCTCCTCCGCTGCATCCCCCCCCCCTCTCAGGCGGTCACACGGCTCGCCCGTGATCACAACCCCGCCAACGGCACCGTCTACATCCACTGCACCGCAGGTGAACCACATACCTGGGAGGAGGGAGGGAGGGAGGGAGGGGGGGGGAGGGGGGGGGGAGGGAGGGAGGGAAGGGGGGGGGGCCCGAGAGGCAGTGAGGTAGAGAGGCAGGGGATCGCGGGTGTTAAGCAAGGCATCCCTGACGCGGGATTATCTGTCTCCTTGTCCTTCTTTTTCATCCTCTGTCTCCTCAACCAGTTATTGCATCTGCGCTGGTGCTGGTGGTGCTCGTGGGTGTGCTGCGAGCGCAGCGTGTTGGAGGGAGACGGCGCTGTGGAAAGGGCAGTAGTAGTACGCCAAGGACATGTTAACAGGACTATGGTGTTGTTGTCACCGGGATTATGATGATGGTGGTGGTGGCGGTGATGGTGGTGGCCCAAGTGGACGAAGGTCTTTGACGTCCCCCGCGTCGGCCCATGTGCTGCATGGCACATGATGTCTCCCCGCTCTACCCCACCCGCATGCCACAGCTTTGCTCCTATGTGCCTTCCATAAGTGCCACTTCTTTCCTCTCACCAGTCGCGAATTTTGGGATTTGCCGTTAAGGGATATGGCCCCCTCTTCGCCCCCCACATCCGTGCCCTTTCCCTCCCTGGGTTTCCTGATCAGGACTGGGTCGAGCTCCCGCAACCGCGCTGGCTTACATGTTTTGGCTTCGTGGCTACCAGTTGGATGCGGCGTACGAGCTGCTCCGGGGGAAGCGCATGTGCAGCCCGAGGATAGAGGTACGCAAACGTAGTACATGGCGGGGGGGACATGCATCATTGAGGAGGTGTTAGGTCAGACGGGGAGGCGGTGGGACCCCGAAATGTCTGGGGGATTGGTGCAAGCAGAACTGAAGACTAGAGGTACCTCCGTCGGTATTTACGCGGATAAAAGAGCGAGGCATGTGCACCGGTAGCAGTTACTGGGGATGGGTTGCATGCGCATCGGCGGCTGGCGGTAGAGAAAGGCGCCGGTGGATGCTGCGGCAGCGGTCTGCAGGGATAGAGGGGGGACGAGGCGGGGATGTCCAGGCTCCCTAAAACGGCATCCCCGCGTTGTATTCTCTCCCGGTGCCGCTGTTGCGATTGTGGTCCGCCTCCTGTATCTCACTATGCCCTGAACAGGCCATACGTTCAGCCACGGTGGATTTGTTGGTCGGCACCGAGCCTGTTCTGGCCACCATCGGTGTCAGCCGCATAGGGACAGCCAGGGACTTCAAGGTGAGCCGCTTTCCGGGGCTGCTAGCAAGTTACAAGCTTCTGCACAAGTGCGGGGATATCCGTAGAAGCCGGGGGCTGGGCCCATGGACGGTAAATGTGGATTAGTGGAGTGCTGGCGAAGACGAGGACTCTGGGGCGGAGGGCTGTGCAGGGGGTTACGTGATGCCGCTGGCGGTGAGCGTTACGGCACAGGAAGCCCCACTCAACGATCGATCAGTTGATCGATCGATCGATAAATGTATCGACAACTCCACCAGTGTACCTGTCCCCACCTACCGCGTATCGGGTTGCTATGGGCTATCTTCCCTTCCCGTCCTCGGCTGTGCCACCTGCCGGCTCCTAACCGCATCGCCCTCCCGGACTGCCGCATTCGCTTGCTGCCGCCAGTGGACCCCTGATGACGCACAGCTGCTACTCCGCCTAATCACCGCCAGTGGCAACCCATCGGCGGTTAACTTAATCGTTTTTGACCCCTAAATAGAACCCCCCTTTGGCGAATATTTACAGCACCTGCGCCTCTGCCGCCTCGCCCTGCTACAGATCGCCGGCCTCGATGTGGGTTGGCACCAGCAGCTTCCCCTGGAGCGTGAGGACGGCACTGGCCGCATGGTGCTGCGCCGCCTGCTGCAGCCCGGTGGGTGCCTCCACTTGTAATTGCCATCAGCCTAGCGATCCCGACCCTCCTGCTGTACTGTACCTTCCTGCCTAGGGAGTTGGGCATATCTACCCACCTACCTACCTGCTTGCCTGCCTGCCCACCTGCCTAGCTGCCCTCTCGTACCGGCCCTCGTACCTGTTCGACCCCTGCTGGCCGTCCTCCACAGGAAAGTACGCGTACAAGTTCATTATCGATGGAAACTGGACCTACAGCGCTGATCGTAAGTAATAAATCAGCGCCCCGAACCCCTTGCATCTCCATATGTCTATTGTGTCTGGGCATAACTTGGACGCTCTGGCGTGTTTATACCAACCCCGCTAGCACCCTCACAAAAAGGAGGCCCTTATTGCGTTTGAGAGGCCGATATTACGGAGGCTGTCTCTCCTTTTAACAGCGCCGCGGGAAGAAAGTCATGTGGACCCGCGGTGAAAAGGGGTGGAGAAGTGACATGGGTGGAGGGCCAACCCATTGTGTCGCCCAACGAGGATGTCGAAGCGGCGTTCCTAACACTACAGTTAGCCAGTTACGGAGATGCCGGATAGCTTGTCGAGCTGGGTGGTGGCGGATGGATTCGCTCACAGATGACGCCCCCACAAGTAACCAAGTTAACAAGGACTTCATGTCCTAGTCTGGATAGCGAACAGGCAAGGTGACACGCAACACGCGCGTGTCGCCACTCAACTTGCCAATAACAGCACAGGGTCCCCGGCGCAGGGAGCAATTAAGGCATATAGGTGAAGATTGCCAAAAGAAGCTGGCTGACAGCCTGTTGGCAGATGAGGACGCCAACAACACAGCAATAGCAGCAGACGTTAGTTTGCGGTCGTCGAGCATTGATTCACATAGGCGACCGAGGGCTCCTTAAGCACACACGTGCGTGCCCCCGGTTGTAGGGCCCGGGAAGTAGCAAGCAGGGGAACACGCAACAGAAGAATGCACGGCCGTAAAAAATCACAAAGCACGCGTGGGTGCATGCTTGCGCGTCGGTATCGTTCTTGTCCGCCTGCTGTGTTTGCAATGAGCGCTGCCGAGACCTTTTGCGCGTACGAAAGCTGTTTCGCGTGGCGTTGGGACCTGCTAGCTCCCGCTGGCAACCGCTGTTGTCTCCTCTCTGTCTGGACGCCCACCCGCAGATCCGACGCTGCAGGACGGTAACAACATTAACAACTACATCGAGGTGGGGGTGCTGCTGTTGCTGCTGCTGCTGTTGCTGCTGCTGTTGCTGCATGACTGTCTGTGTGTTCCGCGTGCCCAGTGAATGTGTTCCAAGCCGATGACAGAGGTGGTTGGTTGGCCGGTTACTGGTTCGTTATTACTTTGCTCCCAGGGCTTTGGGTGGTTTCGGTACATGCGATATGGATAGGGGCTGCATCCGCTCAAGCAGCCACACGTTCACCGGAAGGATCCCCCCGGCCTCCGCGCGAAAGGTCTACCGGCCGCTGCACCTTTTTCCGGTGGTTTCGGGGCCCTCGCCTTCCCCCAACCCCCGCAAACACCGCCGCCGCCGCCTATCTATCCACATAAGACAATGCGCTGACTGGCTCTCTCGCACTTCTTTGCACTTCTAACCTTTAGGTTCATTGTGCACGGTGGCTACCTCGCTATTATTTTCCTACAAGCAACGTTTAGCAACTTGTCCCTTTGTTGATTGTCCCTGTTGACTGCCTCGCATCTCAACTCGCAGGTGATGGGCCGCACACTGCCCGACCACTTGGCGCTGGCACAGGAGCGCTTGCTGACGGTGGGCGGCGACCTCACCCCGGACGAGCGAGCCGAGCTGCAGGCCCTGCTGTGCCCCTGGGCTACACACGGGGCCGACGGCTCCAGCGACGGCTCCGGCGACAGCGGAGAGGGCCCAGCACCGACACGGGCGGCTCCGCAGCCGGACTGGGCGGATAAGCTGCCGTAGCTCACGATCAGCTTACGGCACCTCGGGGAATGCGGGCGGTGCCGCACGGGAGTGTGATTCTTTCGAGGGTCATCGCTGTGAGGTGGCGATTGAAAGGTTATCGTCCGCTTTTAGTCTGTGGCTCAGTCGTTGAGCTTGTCCACGCGCTTTTCCTTTTTCCTTGCTCGTCCGCTTGCTCGCCGTATTTGTATCCCCTCGCTTGTTCGTCCCGTTCTGGATAGCATGGTGAGCTGAGCCATTCGAAGGCGGACGCACCCTCTACTAGGCAGTAGAGGAGTAGTACTAGGCAGTAGGGAGAGTAGTTGTGTGGCTTGCATGTGTCCACATGCGTATGTATGGAAGGAGGCAGCAAAGGGTGTGCGTGTGTGTATGTCTGTCTGGAGGTCGCCTCTGGGATACGCGAGGCGGGTGTTGGCGCGATCCGCCACCGGCGATCCACAATCCAATAACTCATCCGGTTGGGGACTCGGGGCTGGAAGCGTCAGACCGGGCAGCAGAAGGAAAGCAATTCATAAAGCCGTGTCTTGTGGTACTGTGCGAGGAGTTTAGTAAGGAAGGCTGTTGCGGATTGGGATTACATGTTGTGATCTCTGCGTGGTTTGTGGGGGCGGTTCGGCTTGTGTTCGGCCACTCGCCGTGTTCGCTGTGTATCAGTGTGCCAGTGTGCATCGCTCGTGCTGTTAGGGACCTCACCATTGGACAACATCTTAGCAGGTAGGTGAGATGGCATGGGAGGGGCCCGGCTGGCTGGTGGTCGTCGGCTGGTGGTCACACCTGGGACTGATGGCAGCATTTGCCATCATTTACTGGGAGGGGAGGGCTTTGGTGTCCTGGTCGGGTGTGCCTTGGCTGGAGAAGTGCCAGCTCGGCGGGGCGGCTGCAGGTGTGCCGGATGGGGGATCAAGGGGGAAAGCAGCCGAGGTGTCCACCGGGTTGTCTACCACTGGCGTGGACCAAGCGCTAAACATGCTAGGGTGGGTGATGTGCCCTCTAGGTAGGGAAGGTGTTGGGGCCTGCGTAGCATACTGCGTCCTGGCTCCTGAGGGGTCGCGGCGAAGATGCAAGGCGCTAAAGGTGTCACGGACATTGCATGCGGATGCATGCCCTCCATTTATACATGCTGATATCCATTCATGCATGTGCTTACATACACTGCTGGTGTGCCCATGCATACTGAACGCTCAAGCTTTTTCTACTGATGCGCTGGTTTGGAGTGGGGATGGTTGCTTGGGGCATTAGACCTACTGCATGGACGTTAGTTAAGCCCCAATTTAGGTGCAAGTGAAACCTTTTTCATGGGCCCAGCTAATCTTCTTCCGCCTATCACCTGCACGGCCCAATCTGACGTGCAAGGTGCAACTTGTGAATGCTCCTTTCTCTGTGGCAGCAGCGCGCAGCGTTTAGTATTATCCCCAACCTTTTTCATGGCACAACTCCTCAATATAGACGCTGATGTGTGCGGATCATCCGCTTGTCCACGCACATCTGACCACCGAACATGAACCACAAATACGTTTAACATGTGTAGTCGTGTTGTATACGGGTTTGGGTGTGCGGGCGTTGTTTGTGCCGTTCTGTGCGGCATTGTGTGCGAGATTAGGTGCTGTGTGGTTTACGGCGATGTAATTGGCGTTGTGTGTGGCGTTTGTGTCGCCGCTTGCATCGCGTTGCGTCGTGCGGCGATGTGTGTGTGCCATTATGTAATGCTTTAGTGGTCTGTGGGGTTGTGTACGTCGTTACAGGTCGGCTTTTACAGGTTCTGGACAGACATCCGTACACCTTCTGTACGTCGCATCAGTACCGTCAACCCATATCTCCTCCCGCGGTGCCCTCCACGCTGCAGCCCTCAGCTCGGGACGCGGTTAGCCCGTTAGCGCCCATGGGCAAAGGTACGTTACGTCTCGCCGCCTCAGGGCCTCTTCGTACGACCACATCCGTACAGTGCCATCCATACCTGACGTCACGATGGCCCTGTTCACAACACCAACCCCATGGCCACCGCAGCTTCGTGAACTCACTACGGGAACAGCAATGTCGGCCTCCGCAGCAGAAGCAACGTTAGGAGTAGCGGTTGCATCCGTTGTAACGCCAGCACGTCGTGTAATGAACGCAATGCTGCGAAGGGCGCCATGGTGACCGCGAAGAGTGGCGACTCGGGCGGGGGTGCGCAGATCAGAGAGGTGCCAGAGGGCTGCAGGGAGGGTGGGGAGAGAAGGGAGGACGATGGAGAGCTGAGGGGGAAAGTTACAGCAGTGCGGGGGGTAGGCGACAACTTGAAGATCAGACCGGCAGTAGCGCCACAGACGGCGACGTCACTCACTGTAGCAGTGGCAGTGCTGTTCACGTTGGCAGCTAAAAAAAGGAACAAGCTCCGGGAAACCCCCACTTAGTAGGAGGCAGTGGAGTAGGAGTAGGAGGATTGGAGCCTAGACAGCTTTTCGTACGTGCAAACGTTCCTTCACTGTCTCTCAGCACAAATCCTGTCTACCTTAACCTATCTATCAGGGCGCATGGGGCAGCACGACACATGCATACATGCACGACTGGAATCGCCGGGTGGTGTGTCCTCCTGACTGTAACGCCAGTCTGCTGACGGAAAAAGGGACCGCACTCATCGGCGCCGCCGCCCGAGACCCTTTTGTCTTCCACTTCTCTCACCTGCCGTCCCATCGTACGAGCAAGACGCTAGCAGATTGCGGTCCAGCGGGTCGAATGCCACCGCCCAGACGTCCTTATCGTGCGCGGCAATGTCCCCAACCTGCGGGCCGGGCAGCGGGCAATAAAGGTGGTGGTGTTTGGGGTTTACGGATTTGTTTGGGGTTGACGGGGGTAAGGGGTATGACGGGTGAGGTGAATTGGACATGGGCACACACACACACACTCATTTCAGTCCCAAAGCTCCCCCCGTCGCCAGCCCCCCAAGCACCACCTTTCATTCATCTTACATCAGAACCGCTACCGCTACCGCTACCGCTACCGCTACCGCTACCGCTACCGCTACCGCTACCGCTACCGCTACCGCTACCGCTACCGCTACCGCTACCGCTACCGCTACCGCTACCGCTACCGCTACCGCTACCGCTACCGCTACCGCTACCGCTACCGCTACCGCTACCGCTACCGCTACCGCTACCGCACCCACCCTTTGCCCACTCGTCACGTCCCACACGCGCGCATGTCCACCGCCGCCCCGGAAGCCGCTGTACCCGCCCGCCAGCCACCGTCCGTCCGGTGACCATGCCACGCCGTACACATGCCCGCCGCCGCCGCCGCTGTCTTCCGTTGGCCGGTACATCGCGTACAGCAGCGACGGCTGACGCGGATGCTCGGGCCGTATGCCGTCGCAAACGGAAATTGCGCTGTTGTTGTGTCCCCCCGCGAATAGGCGCTCCAGGGGTGACCAAGCTATACTCCAAACGGAGGAGATTCCGGGTACAACTTCGATCTGTAACGGCTGCATCCACGTGCGACCAGCCTCGGCTGCTGCACCGCCGCCACCGCCCTCTGCTGCGCCATCACTGCCACCTCCATGTATGACCAGCGGAGTAGCAGCAGCAGCAGCAGCAGCAGCAGCAGCAGCAGCAGCAGCAGCAGGGGCAGCGGCGCCGACGCCAAAATGGTGCTCCTGCCAGGCGGCGGCGTCCCACACCGCGATGGTGCCGTCGCCGCCGCCCGTCGCCAGCCGGGTCCCCCAGGCGTCGAAGGCCACCGCGGTGACAAAGGCGCTGTGGCCTTCGGTGAGGACGAGCTCCGGAACCGCGGGTTTGTCCAGACGGTACACCCGTACCTGCACTCGCGCACCGTTTGCCGCAGGGAAAAACAACGCTCGTCCTTGAGGGTGCACTCACCAACGCTTCTTCGGGGCATGGGATTTTGTCGATTGCACATGTTTTGTGGATATGTGAACAACAGCAAAATTGCGGATAACAGCATGGTCTGTCGAGGGCAAAGAAGACAAGACAAGACAAGACACGCAAGTCGACACAATAGCAAGCAATGGTCGCGGAACTGGAAGGTCGGCCGGGTCCGGAAAGATATCGCCCCACCGCCCTAGCCCTTCACACAGCTACAGACACACCGACTTACAGACAGCTATAACGACCTACCGTGCGGTCGAAGGAACCGCTTGCGAGTGTCACCTCATCTGGAGAGATGGCCACAGAAGCCACCTGACTGGTGTGGCCACCTAGCTGCGTCATCAGCCCACGGCCACCACTAGGGCCCCCAATAATACCATTACTGCCACCATCACCACCGCTAACATCAACATCGGCACCACCACGTCCTTCCGGATCTTGCTGCTGCTCCTGTTGTTGTTGTTGTTCGAGCTGCTGCTTGGCCGTCTGCCTTGATGGCGCCTTAAGTTGAGTGGATGGTGGTTGTGGCGGCAGCGGTGCAAGCGGCAGTGACGGCAGCGCCCAGATGCCAACGGTTTTATCAGCGGAGGCTGTAGCCACATAGCCGTTGGCTGGCGCTACTGCCATCTGCATGATACCCAACGCGTGTTGCTGGGGTGCGGGTGCGCCGGCAGCGGCAGCCCTTGCGTCCCATATGCGGACCTGAAGGCATCGAAAGGGAAGTGAAAGGGCGGGAAAGGCTGGGGGGAGGTGGGGATGGTAGAGGGTGCTGGTGCATTCCGTTGTTGGACGAAACACTCTCAGCTCTGGGACTTGAATAATTGAAAACGTCAAAACATTACTACTAAGGGAATACGTGTCCATGCCCGAACCAGCAAATGCGAAACAACAGCATCGCCTGCCTCTTCGTTTGTTCAAATCTCTTTCCATGCACGCATTTTCGAAACATGCATCAAATCATGAACCGAGTATGGATATATCCTCTGGCGGCAGCTCAAGGGGCAAAACAAACGACGGGCCGCCCCGGCAGCGACACAGGATCTACCACGGTGCTGCCGCTAAGCCGTACGATGATGTTCTCCTGCCGTACACCTACCGGTTCACGGCTCTCCGGCCCCCGCACATCCCACCAGCCCCACCAGCCCCACCACAATCGATATTGACACCCTACCGTCCCATCCGAGGATCCAGACACCAGCAGCCGCCCATCGTACGACAGATCGCATCCCGAGACGTAGTCCGAGTGGCCGTACAGTACGGCAAGCTGTCGCCCCTCCGCAAGGTCCCACACCCGCACCTGCAGCGGAGGTGCAGCAAACCCAAGTTGTTTTGGCGCCATCAGGGCCCCGGGGCGGTCACCGCCGTACCGCCGTACCGCCGTACATGCACAAGGAAAGGAGAAGGGAAGGGAAAAGGAAAGGATTACTCCAGGACCCCACCCCGGTGGCGTGTCTTAATGTGGCTATAGCGATGCAACAGTTGGGAGTTGTCAACAGCCACCGGTACCTTGTCCACGAAGGTACCTGCACCTGGCGAACGGAGGAGGGCTGGGGGCCGACCCGCACCACCACCACTACCACCACCACCAGTACTGGTAGGTAAATGCAGGATGTACACTGTCTATCTGACTAGGAGAGGCAGGAAGGTCAGAATGTCTGTCGTACAACATGTGCCTCCACAAACCTGAGCCGGTTGACCCCCCCTTTTCCCGGGGATTCCCCCTTAAGGGGCGTCCTCCTTAAGAAAGCGGCCCCACGGGGTCACCGAAAGCGTCTGATGACTCCGGACAGCGGGTTAAAGAATCACATCGCACTTCACCTCACCTCACCTCACCTCACCTCACCTCACCTCACCTCACCTCACCTCACCTCACCTCACCTCACCTCACCTCACCTCACCTCACCTCACCTCACCTCACCTCACCTCACCTCACCTCACCTCACCTCACCTCACCTCACCTCACCTCACCTCACCTCACCTCACCTCACCTCACCTCACCTCACCTCACCTCACCTCACCTCACCTCACCTCACCTCACCTCACCTCACCTCACCTCACCTCACCTCAATCGATTCGCGCGG